GTTCCGGCTGAAATGATTGTTCTTTCAGAAACATCAACATAAAAGCCGAGAAGTAAAATTGTCGGCCACCAGCTCCATTTCGACTGGACTACCATAAAAGTCCAAGTCTGTAAACACTTTGAACACTGGAGCTTGAAGATGGTGCTTCTGTACAATGACAAAAAAGCTGTCGACGTACCTGATTGCAAGATGATGAAAATGTGGTTGGGTCAGAACTTCTTGATAGGTACTGCTCCACGATCTCTCGATAAGCGTCACGGCCAAGTTCGAAAGTGTCGGAGAAATCTGACTTCCTATTGCAGCGCCCCTGATTTGGCGCCATACAACACCAAGTGCTGTGAAAAAGTGAGTCCGCTGTACACGTGGGTCGACCCCCTGCTTTAAAATTGAAAAATTGAAAAACAGAAAAACAGAAAAAATCGCAAATCCCTTGGAAACAGGGGTTGACCCTACCCACAAAAGGTCTATCGCCGCTGGTATTTGTCGGAAAACCGAGATAGTGCGTGCAACGAACTCTGTGCTTGACAGGACGGAAATGAATATTTGCGAATTAAATGAGCTCGACTCTTCAGTCCGCTCAAACGCAATCGGAGGGTTCCGGCTGAAATGATTGTTCTTTCAGAAACATCAACATAAAAGCCGAGAAGTAAAATTGTCGGCAACCAGCTCCATTTCGACTGGACTACCATAAAAGTCCAAGTCTGTAAACACTTTGAACACTGGAGCTTGAAGATGGTGCTTCTGTACAATGACAATAAAGCTGTCGACGTACCTGATGGCAAGATGATGAAAATTTGGTTGAGTCAGAACTTCTTGATAGGTACTGCTCCACGATCTCTCGATAAGCGTCACGGCCAAGTTCGAAAGTGTCGGAGAAATCTGACTTCCTATTGCGGCGCCCCTGATTTGGCGCCATACAACACCAAGTGCTGTGAAAAAGTGAGTCCGCTGTACACGTGGGTCGACCCCCTGCCTTAAAACTGAAAAATTGAAAAACAGAAAAACAGAAAAATTCGCAAATCCCTTGGAAACAGGGGTTGACCCTACACACAAAGGCCTATCGCCGCTGGTATTTGTCGGCCACAACGCACTGTGAATATCTGACAAAACGAAGCCTTTCTGTACGTATAACCGAGATAGTGCGTGCAACGAACTCTGTGCTTTACAGGACGGAAATGAATATTTACGAATTAAATGAGCTCGACTCTTCAGTCCGCTCAAACGCAATCGGAGGGTTCCGGCTGAAATGATTGTTCTTTCAGAAACATCCACATAAAAGCCGAGAAGTAAAATTGTCGGCAACCAGCTCCATTTCGACTGGACTACCATAAAAGTCCAAGTCTGTAAACACTTGGAACACTGGAGCCTGAAGATGGTGCTTCTGTACAATGACAAAACGGCTGTCGACGTACCTGATTGCAAGATGATGAAAATTTGGTCGAGTGAGAACTTCTTGATAGGTACTGCTCCACGGTCTCTCGATAAGCGTCACGGCCAAGTTCGAAAGTGTCGGAGAAATCTGACTTCCTATTCCAGCGCCCCTGATTTGGCGCCATACAACACCAAGTGCTGTGAAAAAGTGAGTCCGCTGTGCACGTGGGTCGACCTCCACTAGAGGGAAGGCTGAAAACGGTCTCAAGGGAGGAGGAGCAGGAACTCTGGGAGGAAGAACATGCGCTCTGGGAGGAATGTTTCCAACATACGGGTCCCAAAGACCAGTATGAATGTCCCATTGACCTGGTGGAGGACGGAGAGCTTGAGAGAAAGAAGAAAGAGCCGTTCTAACTGACCTACCTCTTTCAGATCTCGAAGTGGACCTCAGAGAATGGTGATCACGATGATGGTGACGGTGATGGGATGCTCGATGACGACGTCTTGTTCTGGATCTGGAGCAACTTGATGTTGTGCGTCTTTCCTGTTTGTCATCATCTGTTCCAACCGGCACCTGAGGTTGGACTGCTGACGGTCGACGAGGTACGGAGATCGTTCCTGGAATTGCGGCTGGGGCTACTACCGGAGTTGCTGGAGGAGCCTGTGGTGTCAATGCCAGTCTTACTGCTGGCTTCGCCGGTGCCTTGGGTGGCCGAGGTGGAGTCGGGTCCACGTTGCCGGCCACAAAATAAACATTATACACCGGAGTCGACATGGCTCAGAAATCTAGAGAAAGGAAAATGGAAAATGTGTTGTCTAATATGACAACTTCCTAACTGTACAAGGATTGATCAGTTAGACAACTAACAAATGATAACGCATTGTTGCTTGCTCAACTGTACACCAAAAGGCATTCATGTGTACAAACACAATTCATCTTTGGAATTCAATGCTGAGGCTTCAAGTGTGGAATTCAGAAAATTCATCTTATTGGTGACTATCAGTCGCCAAAATTGTCAAAAGTCAAATTCAAGTTCAAACTCAGTGGATTCAAGCTATTTTTGCCGGATAGCATACCGGGATCTATTCTCTCAAATGCACGCTTTGTGTCAGAGACACACGTTCAATCATTGCAATGAGCCACCGTGGCTGAATTCAAGAGTCAAATTCACTTGTGGATTCTCGCACTCCCAGGGGAGATACGACGCCTGGAATTCCAGGATCACGACCGGACTTTGACAGATCCCACGGCCGAAATACACACTTGCGAAGTCATGAAAGACGGTCTCTTTTCATGAATGCAAAGTCTGATTACCTCATGGTAGATTGAAGGCATCACTCGGCCATACCGAGTTAAAAAAGGCCAAGCTTACCCGTTGACATTTGAATGTCAGGTTGTTTAAAAGAGAAACCAATACGGCTCAATCAAAAGTGATCATGAAATGACTGAATGACGGCATGCAGGTTCTTGGGTTAGCCTGATCCCATAAAGTACTAACAGATACGAATATGACCACCAGCTATGACCCCAACATATTGGGTATGTCATCCAGGTGCATCATGCAGGTACGTTTTCACAACCTAAGGTGAGCGTCTTCATTGGCACAAGACTCACCAAAGGTCCTTGCGCCCCCTGCTGTGAATTAAGGTGCAATGGTATCCATAATTTATGGAAGAAAGCAGTTAAAAAACTAGTTGGTTGAAATCAGCCGCAAAAAGTGAGGAACTCTTCGGTACAGAGCTTGACACACACACATATATATATTATCTATCTATCTATCTATCTACCTACCTACCTAGCTATCTATCTATCTATCTATCTATCTATCTATCTATCTATCTATCTATCTATCTATCTATCATTATCTATCTTGTCGGATGCTCACATTTTGTTCACCCCATCCCTGGTGGATGGTGGAACCCACCATGCATTGCTGGTGTTTTTTTCGGGAAAATGGCCAATGTTTCAATGGGCCCAGTCGCAAAAAACGGTCGCTTACACACAAAAAACGTGTTCTGAAACTATGTAGTGCCTCGAAATGTTCTTGTTTTGCGCCCCAGTGTTGCACCCTGTCTTGATTGTCTTGATTGTCTGAGAATTTCTGATATGAAATGAATAGGAACATACAGCATGATATAGATTGATATAGCCCCCAAAAAACGCGGAATACTTGCGGGTACTTCACATGGACCAAGCCAAGCTATCAGACCTATATCTTCAGCGTTGCCTTTCACCATGGTTGTTCTGTGGCCTGACCGCCTTGGACCGCCCATTTCGAATGTCGATGTCGGCTGGTGCCTTGAGCATCCTTGAGCAGCAGGACACTTCCCACTAACTATGAGCTAACTATGGATAAATATGATGATATCTATAATGATATGATGTTTATAATGATGGTGATGTTTATAATGATTTTGATGTGATCATGATACTTATAATGATCATGATGTTTATAATGATATGTATAACAAACAATTAATATATGTCTACTAGAGTGTAATAATCACGAACTATAGTTGGTAGCGGATTGCTTCGGCAACTGGAGATAGAAGATGATTACTATCATGTGCCCTTGTAATAGCCATTAACTATAGAGATAGTTACATCTACCATACATCGGTAATTCCACATCTATAGCTATGAAAGATGGTGGTTTTCCAGTTCGCTGTGTTAGAGAGTCCCGTATGGCTCCCACTTGGTTAATCCGTGTATGAAATTCCCCCAATATATAGGGCTCCAAAAGGAATAGTTCCAGTATTCATCCAGGGCTTAATGATAGGATGATAGGGAAGTAATATAGTATTTAAATGCATTTACATGATACTAGCGGAGGGATTACCAAGCAAGAGGATGTTATGAGCACTTATATACTAGAGATGCAAAACTTGCGAGCTATGCAAAGCTTGCGAGTTTCGTGGGTCTACCGTTAGCGAAAGTTTGCAAACATGGTTCCATTTGTTTCCTGGAAATGAATATGCACATGCATGCACGTCCTTTATATATATATATATATGTGTGTGTGTGTATGAATCCACCAAATGTATTTCCCATCCATATCCAATAGATCCACAATCCAAGACCGCACATTTTCCGGCTTGAAATACCACCATCAGTTCCGACTGGACAGAGACCAATCAAATGGGGAAACTGCCAATCTGATGAGCATACAAATCCGGTCAGGCAAGTGTCATCCTTCGCCCAAGCAATTGCGAGCCAGCATGACATCACGGACAAAAATGGAATTAACAACGAAAGCATGCAGGGATGGAGAATGCGGGTCGTCGAAGGATTTTCGCTTCCAACATGGCAATCACCGTTGTTAATTGTTGCGGGGTTGAAGTTGCAGAGGAACATTTTGGGGACGAAACGGATCAGTCTTAAAGGGAGGAAATCCCCACATCTCATCCGGTGATGGAAGATACTGCGATTCACGCGTTAAGGATGGAAAATATGGCGTTTCACGCCGTGAGCATCCATGGTGGCCCAAGTAGCCTACGGGCCTACCAGAAATCCAAAAGTTGTATGAAACCAACCTGAGCTGGTGGTACTAGCATATTTAGCAGTGAACAAGGTATCAAAAGCAGGGACGAACAACCAAATGAGCTTCCCAAACTAAAACTAGGCCACCAACATCGAGATGAGTTTCCCAAATGCTGCTGATAAAAATGTGTGCTCCCTATGTTCACTGCTCAGGTATTTTGGCAGCTACCTCCAGTCAACCAAAGAACCTTGGAAAGCAAGGAAAATTACCCGCAAAAAAAATACAGCTGCCTTTGATGGATGCGTGGATATATGTGTTTCCTTCAGCAACTACAATGGCAATGAAAAGTCTTGATTTTTGGATGTAAAGCTATACTAGCACCAACAATAAAGCAAAATAGGCAAAGGGGCATGGCTTTGTGGCATTGTTTCTACTATCTGAAGGGAGGGAGGGGGGAGTCAAAGCCCCCCAAAAAGAGGTCTAATTTCTCCACTGGCTGACTCATAGACATCATTTTGTCAGTTTTACCATCATTTTCTTTCTCGAAAATGCAATCATATAACTATGATCTAGTATGATGATTTCTTTTTTCAAAGAATTAAGAGATATGTCTCAAACATGTTTAGCGTTCCTTTCTGTTTTGCCGTGGATGATGGACTTAGGGCACTCGGAAAGGCACAGGCACCAGTCCAGCTCCGCTCGCTCCGCTCGCTGCGCTCTCCATTCGACGGAGTTTCTGCAGGAAGGTTCGAGCGACCACGCGAGACACTGCGCCAAACACCTAGGAAATCTAGGAGAAACAAGGATTAAACAGTGGAATTATGAGAATTTATGAGATGAAATGGCTAATTTCATGGAATTTACTAACTGAGATATTGTGGACTTGTGGGCATGATTAACATGTGGTTTTTCGATGCTTTTCGGGGATTTGACGACTGGAAAGGAAGATCAGTGAGGCTCTCATCAACATGAGGACTTCATAACATAATAATCAGTTTTAATTCATTTTACATATCAAGAATCACACATCAGAACCACCACACATGACCACTTCTTGAATATCCTGTGTCGGATTTCGATATACGGGGGTGTCAAACCAAAACTGGGATTTCACTAACAGAAGCGGGATTATCAAATTATCAAATAGAAACATAGAGAAACGACACAGTCTGCAAACAACAATGCAGGAATTGAATTCGAACCACGACCAAGTGAGGATTCAACAATCATAACATTCACCAAAGTGTATTTGACTACAAAATAGAGTGACAAAGATGATTCCAACATCTCAAATGCAACATGACATGACATCATTAAACATGCATCACCCAACCGAAAAAAAAACAATTCAAATGGGTAGATACTAAGAATTGATCTACGTTGTTGTCCCACCACCCACACCCCAGGACAGGGATGTCAACATAAGTTTAGTCTCCGTAGCATGTGTTCATAATTAGTTCAAATTATATAGTTCCAATGGGGTTGGATACTCATGTATGGGTATGTCCAAAGATCGAAACTCATAAATTCCAATGCTTTCACAACACATTTCCCTCTTGGAATGTGCATGACATGGGGTACATGTGACAAACCCATCGCTCATGCCACATTGGTTTCAAAGCCACAGCATCCCAAAGATCCGGGGCCGCTTTTCAGAAAGGAACATGAGATCCCCACTGTTATGATGGCTGCCTTTCAGCAACCAGGTGAAGCTCAAAAAGATTCAAAAAGAAGTTCATCTGTCATCAATATCTCAGCAAAATTATATATATGTATTTTTTGGTGGTTGCTATTATAATGCGTTCCATCTTTTCTGGGATCACTCTGGGTCAGAATTCGGTACCCCAAACTGGGCACCAAATGCTCCAACAACTGGACGACCCCCAGTGAAAAAGTTGCAGACCCTTGCAACCCACAAGGTTTCAGCCACAGTTTTGCAAAGCTGATTATCATTTACAGGATGGACATGTTCGAGGATTTTAGCAAATCATGGCGAATAACAATAATTATATATGTGATAACAATAATTTAAGTAGCTACTGCAAATCTTTTGTGGCTTGTTTGGTCCTATCGTGGTCCATATTTTTGATCAATTGTGGTGCTTAAACTGTTGTTGTAAAAGATCTCCAAGTTTGTCTTAACATTGATCGCAATGTTTAAGATTGTTTACCCTCTGGTAAGTTAACATAGCTATGGAACATGAACATTTATAGTTGATTTACCCATTGAAAATTGTGATTTTCCATAGTTATGTAAACGTTTACCACGTAAGTGCAAACATCCACCTTTAGAGCTGTGCTTCAGCTGAGCCTCGATCCTTGGAAAATTTCGTTGAAGCGACAGCATCGTCGAGGGTCGCAGGGAATGTCTCGCCTGAAGTGTATTGTGGCCTGTAGCTGTGTAGAGCTTCCTCAGTAGAAAGTGGCTGGAAAATGTAAAACAGCTAGCAGTTAGGTAGAGGAACTCTAGCCAATCATGAAATTCTTGCGCCTCTATATATATATACATGTGTGTGTGTGTTATGATATGTATCGAATTTCGGAGGAACATCCATGGATTGTATCACTTCGTTTAAAACAAACAAACTGATTCTGGGGTGTTTGACAACAGGCGTAAGCTTTCACGCTCCTGGCAAGATTGTGTTTTTTTTGGGGGGCAGGGGGGCATCCCACATATTGATCAACCAGGGTTTACCAATGACTTGTACAAAAGTTATTCACACCATAACCATGTGGGTCTGAACCTTTGTACCAACAACATTAACGAATAAGTGGCTGCAACTGTACGAGTTGCATCGGGGGCCCATACAAATCACCCTAAACAAAATGTCCATAAAATACGAAGAATCACACTGCGCCAGTGATATTTTTGGGGTTTTCCGGTGATATCCCTTGCCACGGTTAACCTCAAACTACAGTAGAACTAGGTCCACCGCGCGAAATCGGCCGTGGTGTAAAATAGGATTTTCAATGATTCAATGTTGTTTGAATCCCACAATTACAATGCGTTTTATGGACAGTCTTTGATTTCACATGTTTCATGCGTAGTTCCATTGGGGAAAATATTGTCACTATAGAAACCATTGTAACTGCGAGCAAAATATTGTGTTTTTTTAGCCCGCAACTAAGGAGTCCATTCATCTTTTGTGCATCATCGCCATCACCGCCATCACCGTCTTCACCCTCTTCATCATCATCATCATCATCATCATCATCATGATCATCAACATCATCACCATCATCACCATCATCATCATCATGATCATCAACATCATCACCATCATCATCATCATCATCATCATCATCTTTTTATTACGCCATGTTCGGTATGTAGGGCCAATGGGGACCATCCGTGCGCTCCTTTCACTTTTTCCATTGGCGCTCAATTCGACTTCAGCAGTCTTCGGAGTTGAGACATAAATCCTTGAGGGTTCAAAGGTAAGACGCTTTGTCTAAAGAACCCCCCCCCCAAAAAAAAAAACACAAGAACAAAAAAACAAGAAATAGAGAAAAAAAGCTTGAAAAACAGACCATAGGCACGGCGAGAACAAAACAAAATGCTGTAAAAACCGTTCTAGGAAGAAAAGTTCACAACGTAGCATCAAAAGCGTGTAAAGGTCTAAGAAGGTTCACAACGTAGCATCAAGAGCGTGTAAAGTTCTAAGAAGAAAGTTCACAACGTAGCATCAAGAGCGTGTAAAGGTCTAAGAAGAAGGTTCACAACGTAGCATCAAGAGCGTGTAAAGGTCTAAGAAGAAAGTTCACAACGTAGCAGCAAGAGCGTGTAAAGGTCTAAGAAGAAAGTTCACAACGTAGCATCAAGAGCGTGTAAAGTTCTAAGAAGAAAGGTCACAACGTAGCATCAAGAGCGTGTAAAGTTCTAAGAAGAAAGGTCACAACGTAGCAGCAAGAGCGTGTAAAGGTCTAAGAAGAAAGTTCACAACGTAGCATCAAGAGCGTGTAAAGTTCTAAGAAGAAAGGTCACAACGTAGCAGCAAGAGCGTGTAAAGTTCTAAGAAGAAAGTTCACAACGTAGCAGCAAGAGCGTGTAAAGTTCTAAGCAGAAAGTTCACAACGTAGCATCAAGAGCGTGTACAGGTCTAAGAAGAAAGTTCACAACGTAGCATCAAGAGCGTGTAAAGGTCTCAGAAGAAAGTTCATAACGTAGCATCAAGAGCGTGTAGCATCAACAGAACGGAGCCAAGAAGAACGCACGCGACAGAACGTTATCACACCCCCCCCAACCCCCCCCAAAAAAAACAAACAAACAAAAAAAACAGAAATGGGAGAAAAAAAACTTGAAAAACGGACCATAGGCACGGCGAGAACAACACGAAATGCTGTAAAAACAAATGCAAAGAGACCAAAAAACAACAAGAACGCCACGGCCTTCTATGAGCGGTGGTCCATCTACAGTATCCATCCATCCATCCATCCATCCATCCATCCATCCAATTATCCATCCATTTATCCATCCATGGATCTGTATCATATCTACATAGATTTAGAGCTCCATTGCCTGTGCCAAAGAATAGCACACAACCCACCATTCCTCAAGGCTTTCTCAGCACAAACAAGCTGCAGAATATGTATATATAATTATATATATATACAACCCCAGTCTTAGTAATCACAATCCAGGACTACAAAATCCCATTTTCATTGGTGAACCGTCCTTTTTTGCGGCTTACAATGAAACAAAAGATTGTTTGCAGCATCGTAACCCCCAAAGAGAAAGAAACACATATTTCTATTCTATATACATAATTCACCTCTAACGTTAGCAAAGCAATAATGAATCGCATATAGATTGATAACCGCACATGGATTGATTTCTGGTTGAATTAGAATAATTCACCAGCCTGAAACTTGAGTCGCCATTTGGGAATCTCTCTCCAGTTTTTTGTTGAACAACGATTCATGTCTGTAAAATTCTGTAAACAAAGGCCCAGATTGATGGTGTATACGCCCCATGGATCCCATGACGTCCCAATGAAATTCCTCAAGTCTCTGAGGCGTTCCCGGAGCGGGTAACTATCGAGTTCCTGCGATCCAAATACCTTGGAGAAGACGACCCCCATGGCGCAGGCGGAGGGGCTGCTTTGTGCCACAAAAATCAGATTTGTTTCCACGGAAACAAAAGATTTTAACATATGTTATATAACATGATTTAACCATCAGAAATGGAAAAGCAAGAAGAATGGTGATTTAACCAACAAAAACTGGAATTTACTTTTAACTAACCAAATGGTGGTATGGTCGTGATACAATGTGTGTATAATGGCAAAGTACAAAATATATCTCATGGGGATCTTCTATTCAAGGTAATGCTCCCCAGTTGTATTAAAAAATGCGTCTAATCCCCCTACATTATAGACGATAGATATGTACATGTACTATAAATTTATAAATTATATATATATATACATCTACCGTAAACCAATAGTTAAAAACCAACTTAGCAAAGCATGGGGCACCTCCTTGTCTGAATATATAGTGTTCTTGTGCTGTTTTTCCTGGTGTACATGACCTTGCCATCATTTGCCGTTCATGTTTTGATATATATATATATAACTATATATATATAGGTACCCAGCATGATTTTGGTCGTTACATAGGGTCTGCTCCAAATAAGCTCGAATTGTCAATGTAATTTGAAGTAACGAATACCAAATTCCTGAATATGCATCTGCACCAGCAGTTTGTTAATTGGAAGAAAAGCCACCAAAACCGTCATCTCACCAACCAAAAGGGAATGCCAAACCAGAATCATGGGGAGTAATGGGGATCCAACACCCGGTGACACCTCAATAAATGGGTAGATAGTTCATACGTTTTTTAATGGTTGTTGGATGTTGTTGGTGCAAAACAGCAAGCCTTAAAAAGTAGCCGGGTTACCTTCAAAATTCTCGGGCCGAATCGTGGCATCCCTCGTTCAGTTACGGGCAGGACTGGGGCCCGGAATAAATTCGTTAACGTTCTGAGGAGGCTCGTTTCACTGCCCGTTTTTCACTTTTTTGGCGAATCTGGAGTGTAATTGTTCGACGGGGGTGGAAGGTTTTAATCCCTCTACATGTAACATATAGAGGATCCTAATCTTCCCCTTCATGGGAAAAACGTGGCGCTGGGATCCGAACCCGGCGTCGTGTGGGTGAAGTGACTATGTCCCCGTCAAAAAAATTGAAACATAGTTTGAGGTGTGTTAAACTTACCAAACAAAAACATACAAAAACAACCAGTCACTTTACACTTTACATGGACGTCCAGTCGGCAGCCGGGATGCATCGATCGAAATGCTTCAGGATGCAATGCTGCTCTATTGGCCCGGAGTCTCCTGGCGGTCCGTTGTTACGTCAAAACTGACCTGAACTCCAACTGCCACAAACAGGCAAGATCTCCATTTGTTGCATGCTGAATCCTGTATGAGCTGAAAGATGAAACGCAAACATATCTAGTTTGTTTTGGCTTAATCCCCACTCAATCATCATTCTGGGCAGCTTGATCGTCATTCCCAATTTGACCAGTTTGACAGAAGAATGCAGAATGGACGACAAGAACATGTGACCGTAGGCCCGTTGTTAAGTATGGGATTGTAAAGCCCATTAAAGAAAGTGTCCAATGATTTCTGCCATGGCTAACCAACATTTACCAATCCCCTCGCTGACGGAGATCATAGACCCATTAACTATTATATAGTTGGTTCGGTACTAACAATTAAGAGTCATTCGCAATGCATTCGATACATAATGTCAGTTAGGAACCATCATACAAACTGGTTGGCATGGGAGTTGTGCTATCCACTAACGATGAAATGGTACTAACTACTAACCATGAAATATTGTAGCATACCAACTGTACTAACCAATGACCACTTGGCATAATGCTAAACTGGTTACTAATCAAAGTTCAGCTAACTAATGTCATGAACTAACTGGTGTCAAATCTGCTAATAGCAATCATATTCAATTATTTGGGCTTGGCATAGTACTTGCACGGGCAAACCCCTCTGTTTGCCCGAGCCGACGTCCACCACATGTCCATCATGTCCGAACACACATGTCCAAGATCATGGCTTTCATCTTGCAATGCGCAGCTTAGCAACCTGTGCGTTGAATGTTACACCATCATCATCATCATCATCATCATCATCATCCTCATCTTCATCCTCATCCTCATCCTCTTCCTCATCCTCCTCCTCATCCTCATCCTCTTCCTCCTCCTCCTCATCACCACCACCACCACCATCACCATCACCATCATCTTCACCATCATCATCATCATCATCATCACCATCATCAACATCATCATAGTATTGATCTTCATCATCATGATCATCTTGAAGATTCCCTTGAATATAAAGTTTGACGGGGTTCGGATTTGATGATACCCTAGAAACTTTCTTGAAATCATCTTGAAGATTCCTTTGAATATAAAGTTTAACAGGGGTGTGAGTTTTAAGGATTCTCTAGAAACTCTTCAATTTGAAACATCTTGAAGATTCCCTTGAATATAAAGTTCAACAGGGTGGGGATTTAATGACTCACGAGAAACTCTGTTGAAACATCTTGCAGATTTCCTTCAACACGCCAGTCAGTCAATATCCCTCTTCAATGTACTTGGAAACCGTGCAAATGTTGTGTGGGCAAAAGGGGGGGTCTGCGCATCATGTGGAACTGCTTACTAATCATAGTTCAACTAACTACTATCATGTACTAACTGGTATAAAACAGTACGATTATCAAACCTACAAATAACAATCATATTCAACTCTTTATGCTTGGCATAGTACTTGTACGGTTGTATACTAACCCAGGCCACCCAGGCCGACTCGCCAAGTGCCAAGTGTCGTGGCTGTTATCGCACCGTCCGAGGCGCGTGGGGACCTGGGCGATGATTGTGATGATTATGATGTAATATGATTACTGTATATTATTGAGATAATGGAAAAATAATGGTTCCAGTCAAACTGCAAGCACCTTGATGTACATAGTTAGTTTGTCCAAAATGAAGATGCCCAAAGCAGCCCCCAAAAATGCCAAATAATATGTGGTAATCCGTCCGAAACCGCTAAAAAGCTACGTAGAAAATGTTGGCTTTATCTGAAAAGTCAATACTCCAAACTCCAATGGCAAAGAGACCCATTTTCGAGATTACAACATTAAAATAAAATATTTGTTTTTCTTTTCCAGACTTACCCATATGCTGATTTTAAGAAACAAACGAATGCTTGTGGCCCAGGAGCTGTGTTACAATCGCTTCATCTCTATTCATTTCTGCACGCATCCACTCGTGGAAACAATCGTCTGGAAAGAGACATTCATCGGCAAAGACGTAGATATATGTAGATATGATAATGAATGATTTTCCCTGATCAGCTTAGGTTACCGGCCGGAAGTCAACCACCCAGTTGAAGGGTTTATGCCATGGGATATTTTCTGTAGCTATCTTTGGTCACCAAAGGCGCACGCATGATCAGAATTCCTTCCTAAGCTGGAGGAGAAAAAATGCTTATTTGCTCCAAGAAAGAGCACATCATCCTCACCCACAGTTCTGTCAATGATTCCCCCAAAACCTAATTTTGCATTAACCATCATCATATCATCAAAGTTAATAAAAACACGATCAATGGCAAACAATCAACGTCACCAATCGCACCAATCGCTGTTTGCAGATGTGAGCTCGGCCGGTCTCTAGACCCTACACTTCATGACCAACTTTAGATACTGTACCCAGTGCATTTGTCTATTTGCTGGTCAGCATGTAGTATCCGCATTGATGGCAAACAATTGCAAGGTACTAAACTACCCTGCCACTTGGCTTATCTCCATGTTTGCAAGTTAATTAGTTTTGTTGGTGGTTACCCTCTGGATCCCTCTGGTACTTTGTCCCATAGCCATGGAACATGTTTAATAGGTACAGTAAATCATGAAACTACATGAAACTACCATCTACCCTCTGGTAAACGTTTAGATAACTATGGAAAATCACAATTTTTAATGGGTAAATCCACTATTTCTATGTCTATGGCCATTTTCAATAGCTAACCGTTAGTCATTACCAGAGGGTACCACTTGCTACCCACATCACGATGCCCAGCTGCATCCGTTGAGGTTGGGGCCGACGTGGATATTTGGCCAAGACCTTAATCTTCTTGCTATCCTCGGCAGCCACAACAGTCGTGGATGGTTTTTGTGACCTGGGGTGGAAATGGGTAATGGTAGAAACATCACCAGCAACCCAAATTAATTAAATTAACTATATAAACTGCTTTAGCCGCTAACTTTAGCAGCCGTCTTTAGCCACTGTGATTTATGATATTTTTTGATTGTTTCATTGATGGTCACATTTCTCACTGAATTCTCCGCCAGGCAGCTGTGACGGGGGAGTGGGAAATGTGGGAAATAGGCTGACCCTGTTTGATATTGTATATGTGGGGGATTCCTAAAATGGATCCCCAAAACCATGGGTTTCAATTAACACTTAAATCTCTCTCTCTCTCTCTCCATCGCCATCTCAGGAGATCAGCAGTCAAGCTGAAGGGGAGCTAAAAAGGCGACCTGGCAGTTCAGCACCCAAGCTCGTTAGCCAGGCGCGTCATATCACCAAGCCACTGCAAAGGTAAAGTACAACAGAATAGTGTTCATGGTCTATATAATTTTGGATAAATTGGGGGTACCATCATTTTAGGAAACCTGAATTTTGTATCAGTCACCATGATCCGAAATGATGAAAAATGCTGGCACGGACATGTTTTACAGGGCTACCGGGCTACCTGTTATTGCGTTTGGAAGCTTCATCCTTTTCTTCCGCCAAGGTTCCTTCAGTAAGGCATCTAACTTCAGCTCGAGTTTCCGCATCGTCTCTTCCAAGAAGAACCTGAAACAGGTATGGCAGGGCGATTCCCGGGGCGACCGTGAGAAACAAAAACATCACTTTGGGAGCATATATCCCTTGAAAGATGGTTTTTATATTTCACCAACAACTGAAAAAAACTACAGGCAGTATTTCTTCAAGAAATATGGCAAGCCGACAAAAATCAACACGAGCCCATGTATATTACAATATATTACATATATATATATATATTATATACATATATTGCATATATATATATATAATTATATAAAAGTATGTAACATATCGCTTCTATTAAAAAAAATGGCTTTCAAAACAGAACAACCTAACACGAAAAACCCCAGCAAAATGCATGCAAACAATTGTCAACGTGCAGTGCTGATGCTGCTGCTGATCAGGAATCAATTCCAGTGTCCTGATCTCCAAGTGTTTACCAAGTCATCGGCTTCATCGAACTAAATGTGGCGAAATTGAAACAATTGGGGGTCCAAACTAGCTGATCCGAACCGAAAATATTGAGAATCATGGCCAAAGCTACATGCTGATACAAGGGTAATACCATGTATATAATAACTATAGCAGTAGAAAGCGATGTGATACAACTTATCTGCACACAATGGAACAAGGAATTTACAGGGTCCAACACCCTCGAGACATGATACATCATGAGAATCCATTTTGTTTCCGTACAATTCCTACGGCAATATAAACACGCCTCATCTTTATCAGAAGAATCACTTCCTGTCATATGGAATTTTCATGGGCTTCATATTCGTTTTTCCCTACAATTTGACAATTAATGTCCACCTCTGATTTATAAATAGCCTCCCCCCTCTTTTACCCTAAATAGACTTAAAGCCACCATCAAACTTGTTTGTATGTAAAGGTGTTCAATTACCACAATTGAAAACGAATACATAAAATGCAATTTCAAAAAAAAAAAGGAATCCAGCAATTGTTTTAGTATTGATCTAGTACTCATGTCATGGATTTAGTATTGATCTAGTATTCATGTCATGGATTTAGTTTTGATTTAGTATTCATCTCATGGATTTAGTATTGATTTAGTATTCATGTCATGGATTTAGTATTGATTTAGTATTCATCTCATGGATTTAGTATTGGTTTAGTACTCATTTCATGGATTTAGTATTGATTTAGTATCCATTTCATGGATTTAGTATTGATTTAGTATTGATTTAGTATTCATTTCTTGATCAGCGGGAGGGGGAAGCTCAGTAGCTTTATTCAGGGTCAAACTCTAATTGGTGCTAAGGCACCTCATGGGGGGTACCCTTGATGAGTTGATTTGGAGTTGATTTTGGATAAGTTTAAGTAAAGGTTTTGAATAGAAAGAGCATCCATCATTTTTGACAATTTCCAGCTATCATTTTTGAATAAAGGTTTTGGTCAGCCCCATCTGGGCAAATCTGGGTTTAGGGACAAAAAAAATAGCTTTATTAGGGTAGTTTTACTATTTAGTTTGGGAGTTTTTTAGCTTTATTCAGGGTAGTTTGATAAATCGTAGGTCAACATTACGTTCAATATAGAAGTCACCCACCTGAATCTGGCTGTGGCAAATATACGAAAATGGATAGGTGGCTCTTTTTTTTCCATGGTTTTCCACTAATCTTTACCAAGAGACTCTAGGGTCTTCTGCTGCGTGTGGTTCATCGCATTCGTCTCTTTCGTCTCTGCAAAGTCCTGTGGGATGTGGGAACATCTCGTGCTTATTGTGTATGCATTTTTTTTTGCGGGAACGTAAACCATTAAAATAAAATATCTCAAACATGTCAAACATCAAAACGAAGGAACGGTTGAAGCCCACTATATCATTCTATCATCAATCGTGGGGCACTCCTGCTGCATCCTGTTCTTCATGAGTTGGCATTTCAATGGGTTTTGAATGGCAAAGCTCGTCCAAAATAGCACAATGCATCACCAAGCCTCTTCCTTCATCGTAGCGAAGAAGAATGGCACCTACTCTTGGATGGTCGGATGGCAGCAATGGAAGGATGCGGAGGTAAGGTGTGTTTCATCTAAAGGCAATGCTGCTGTAGTAGGTGCAACAAATGCAGATACAAGCAGGGCACCAGTGTTCAGTTTACAGAACATACTTATATTGGACTGATGCATGATTGGCAAGTCTGTGCCATAGCTATGCATGGGGAAAAAACGCAACAAACATCCAGTATCACTGACCTCAATCCTTACTCCAACTTGCTGAGGAGGCACATTACCCCCGAAATCATATCCCAAATTCTATCTCACAAGGTGTTTGGCTGAGCAGGTTTTCTCTCTTCAGCTTGGACCATAAACATTTGAAACCCTTCCAAGCCGCTTGGCGGAAAATTGCAGAAAACATAGGTATCGTAGCCAATGCAACTCGTTTCTTAGACATCCGGAAGTAGAAATCGTCTTCCCTTTGTTGCAACCAGTAGCGTCGGTTGGATATAGTTGGGGATTAATGCCAAACAACTGCAACATAGAAACAGCGTGCACATCCCCAGGGATCTCCAAGGTGTAACCGATCTTTTTGAGTTCGAAACAACCATTGGAGAATAGCTGTTTTCCCGTTGGGTAATGATCTACGGTAACATGCTGGAAAGTAGCACGTCTATGTGACGGTTTACTGGTGAATAATCCATTACTTAACTATCCACAAAGGACCGGAGATGGTTCCTTGTTGAAAATACCAGTATTCAATATCCATGTTTGTTGTTTCAAGTTTGCATCCTGCTAAAAGATGCCAAATAGGTGTACAAACCACGGAAAAGATGTAATATGGGTGTAAGGTTTCACTGCCAAGCCATAGTTACTGCTAGAGGCCGTGCAAGTTACGCGTGTATTGATGAAAAAGATATGTGATCATGATCATGAATGTTCATCTTTGCAATCAAATGGCCCAATGTGTTTTGGCCATCCCTATGTTTGTTTCATGTGCATACGTACAATGTACAAACCAAAAATACATCTCTGTATATGGATGTGATATGTAATATGTAAATTTACTGTATCCACCACATGACATTACACACCGTACACCACATGTACAGGTCACACATCACAGATTGCACACTAATTACACGTTGCCCATCACACATTAATTACACACCCATCACACATTACAAACTAAACTGCGCATCACCACATTACGGATCACAAATTACAGACTACATACTAGTTACATTACACAGCATCGTGATGCATAGTGCATGTTACATCACATCGCGTTACATATTGCTTGTATATGGTTGCGCCTGAGGTGATTTGTTGGGCTGATGCAGATCATCGTTAACGTCCTGTGCCGACTCGCCGACCCACAAAAAGTCATGGGTGGTCAAGGGGAGAACGATAGACAAAAATGGGATTGTAACCATCAAACATACGAGGCAAATACGATTCTAACCAAGAACACCGTAAAAATAATTGCTTCATATACGAAAAATAACCAACAACCATGGGAACAACAAGTGGGATCTTGCTAAACTTGAGAACTAAAATCAATCTACCATGAAACACGTGGAACAACAATAAGTAATTTTCAGGGGCCGAAGTTTGGATGTTATCTTGCAACAGTTTAACCAACAACAATACGCATGGGGATGGAAGCAATAAGAACGGGATACACCAACCCTCAAACATGGCTTGGAACCTATACCCTCCTCTAAATTAAGATAGATATTAGACATGCATGGTGTCTCAAGAAACATGATTTATGTTGATTTACAAATCGTGGGCTTTCCATATCCATATCTGTTCAATCTATACTGGAGAATATTTCTAGCGCGCTCCCAACGTTTGGCGACCTGGACATGTTGGAACCCAAGCAGCGCACGTGACTACACCTAGCTGATGTTTAGGATACTGTAGCTGCTCTACTAGCCAGCGTTGCTAGTGATGCCCCTAATCCTAATTATACATTGCAGTCCAATATCCCATGAAATCCCATTCTCTCAGTGTGGATTTGTTGATTGCCACGGTACCCAGGCCCCGCGCCATCCCGCGCCTGCGTGGTTTCAGAGTCTGTCTCCGAGTTGGAAACACTCCGGGATTCCCGGGAGTCCCGTGATTCCGCAACGCGCCGCCTCGCGTTGAGAAAACTCAGGCAGCCAATATCGCTTGCGTAGATAGATGTAGTCATGGCTAGTCGTCCTGAAGTAGATAGAATATGGTTATTTCAAAGAATCCTCACAGAAATCAGAGTAAAATTGAATTGTTGATACTCTATCTACTTCAGGATGATTATAATATATATATATAACTAAATAAATATATATATATATATGCATTTTATCAATAGGAGCTTCAGCGACCATGGGACTTGCAGCAAAATCATGTGTAAACAATAATCACCACAGACAATAAACCGAGGAATTCAAGCAACAGAAATGGGACAGTTCAGCAAATGAACGATTTTTTCTACATTGCTCTAAGGCACTCAGCCAGAGTCAGCATGTCGCAGTTTCTCATTGAACCATCTAAAAACCGTGAGAAGAAATGAAACTGACAACATTAGATCATTAAATGATTTTCTTCAAGCCCATTGCCCAACAATGAAATAATCTTCATAACCCCATGAAACCATTCTCTCTCTCTCTCTATCTCTCACTCCATCGCCCTCTCCATGAAACCACCATGATTCCATGACACCAACATGTTTTATGTATTTCATTGGACTGGTTTGAGGGAAAATCTTCACCGGAAACCATGGTTTTTACATGTTTTTACAGGTTTTTTACCATTAAAATCAAGGGGGGTTCCGGTTTCAGTTTTCCTTCAAGCCAATCCAATGAATAGTTCGTTCAGTTCAACCTTCCCGGGAGCCCTCATCCCAATCTCCGCCTGAGATCGGCCACCTTCTCCGCCGTGGGCGTCATCGACACCGGACCCGCCGTGCGCTCCGTGAGATCCAGCTGGCGGCTGAGGTCGTCAAGGCGTGCGGCCAACTCGTTGAAGCAGTCCTTGGGTTTTTCAACATCTATGCAACCATCTATGAGGATTTCTTGGATTTTCCTTGGAATTTAAATATATATATATATATGTGTGTGTGTGAATTTATGGATTTCTATGAGTTGGAGAATTATGGGAGGTACAACCAACAAAAATAGACGTTTACCCACTGAACAATGGATAACCTATGGGGGTATAAACAATAGTTCCGTGATTTACCCATGAAAAAGATTATATAATACTTCCCATGGCAAACTGGCAAACTGTTAAATTACCAGAGGGATCTAGAGGGTAATTTGAGAGATCCACGTTTCAGGACGTTTCTGTGTGATGTCGTGGATGGTCTAGCAGTGGAACCAGTCTTGGATGATCTTGGATACTCATGCCGGCGAAATGGTCTATATATACTAGTCAACCAAGGTCTATCAGGAGTCATGTTTCACCTCTTTGGGCCCAGCTACCATTTTAAGACAATACATCTATACTGAGTCAAGGGCCGGCCGCTACACAGCCCGAAGAACCGGCCTGTACTCCCTCATTGTCGCCACAAGTACTATTTGAACATCTTTGCTACAAACAAAGTTCCTGAGTCTGCGCTCCAAAACAATATCGCAACCCAATAATTCAAAATAGACAAGCTGGAAACCCGACAATTCTGGGGTGAGATACAAATCTCATCAATTCCTGATAAACAGCTCGATCTTTTTGGGCCCCCTGTAACAAAAGATACCTAACCGTTGGTCTCAACGCCCAGCATCAGCAGAGAGGTCAATCAAATCCTCCTGCAGATGCATGGTTTGCCTCGACTCACGCCATCTCAATGGAGATATACAAGAAAACCCCAGGGGAGTGACTGCAAAAATGTGGATAGAAAATATAAAGCCAACCATGATGGGAACACACACACACATATATATATACATATTTTATATTATATTATATATATATATTATATAATTTATATCATTAATCTAAAATTAATATACATATATTATCGGCATGATGATATACAATGAATCAACAGTGTAGTGGGATAACCCCCGCAGTGATGCCAAACTTAGCTTGTGCCCCGGGTCTCTGTTAAAATGATTGCTACCCGGCCTGGTAAACAAACAAAAAGCTATTGAACATGGCCATAAAATGGTGATTTTCCATAGTTTTTTGTATGTTTACCAGAGGGTATAAATTATATCCGTTTATCTAATTATCATCCATTTTCTCGGGTAATTGAATACAACATTCAATATCCTTGTGTAGCTGCACCAATGCAAATCCTCCGTGAAACATCCCAAGTGATCTAGCAAAAGGCTGACTCTTCATAGCTTTCTCTTGGGCTACCTCGTCCGGGTTCATTTTAGCCTTTGATGATTCAGCTGGCACCATCAGGGCACCCTGGCAGCAGGTCTTCAGGACTGCGACCAAGACTCAACATGTTGTACTTGATGAAACCTTGGTATCTTCAATGGGAATTTCAGGATCCTAAAATGGCCATAGTAGATACCTCCAATTTGGGTTCCTGAAATGGCCATTGGTATCGTACGTTGCAACCATCTGCTGCCCCACCGTGATGCCCTTAAAAAATCATGGTTGCTTCGGCTACAGGTGCTTCGCAGGGGGTGAATCATCGAACTATGACCATGATCCACATATGTGGTTAATTAATGTGGTTATTCTACTGTTAATGGTGGTTAATGATGATGGTTACTATATGGTTAATGATGGTTGATAATATATCTGGTTGATGGCTGGTAGACATACCCCTCTGAAAAATATGATGGACTTCGTCAGTTGGGATGATGACATTCCAACTGATATGGAAAGTCATTCAAAATTCCATGGTTCCAAATTCCAGTCACCACCAACCAGTTCCCCTCTTGGTAAATTAACATACCCTGAAACTGACCAATTTATAGTGGAAACTAGTCTTTCAACCCCCATCTGGCAGGGTCTATGTTAATTTACTGGAGGGTATGTTTTTCTTCACCAGGTACCAGGTATTCCCATAATTTCCAGTGTGTGATTGTCTGGTATTGGCAACCTCCCTGTGGATGCAAAAAATCCCTGAGTCCTTCGCAAAAAATCCAAGTGATGTGTTAGCTGTAGCTAGATTCGCTTGCCCCATCTCTTCCCTGCAAAGAATGGGAACAACAACATGTACGACAAAAAAATAGTAGAAATTCACTGCTTCAGATTTCTTGAAACACCTATGCATGGCTAATCTAGGAACACCTTGCAATCAAGTCAATGTTTAGTTGAACATGTTCCTCCATTGACATGGCCACCCATTGACCCACTCAATTCAAATCCAATCTAACCCAATAGTTGGCTGACTTTACCAAAATCTTAGAAATGTCATCAAACCATCTCAAAGCCCACATTGGTCATGAAACAATCCCAAGATATCCCAAGATCTGCCCCCAGATCCCTTCAGGATCGCCTAAAAAAACCCGCCCCCCGGCGACGGCGAGCTGCGGGGTGCTGTCTTGGAATCATGCGCCCATCGACTCAAAGGGCCGATGAACCTCAGCCACGGCATCCATTTGGGAAAATATTTGGGAAAATCCTATGAAGAAATGGATGATTTAGGGGTACCCCCATTTCAGGAAACCACCATATGGTGTAAGATGTATTAATGAATACATATGAATACAATATCTATCAATATTTTACAAAAATCAATGATCCACATGTTCATCAGCTGTTTTTGCGTATACAAGATATTGCATACACTAGTTATAGACTCATAGACAAATACAGAGATATACAGAGATATACAGAGATTCTGTGATGTTCCGCATTACAATCATTCGCAATAAACCACAGCGCATGAGGGTTGTAGTAGTAAGGTCGAGTAAGGTATGCCAACGAAGACTGCTACCCCCTCCAACTCAAACTCAAACTCCACGATCTATGAGAGTCATTAGAGGAAAGTGGGGCAATAGATTCAATGGATGATCATGTCATACCATGTCCATCGCGTCCAACGAAAACCATGCCAAACATATCAAGAAATGACAAACTATTCAATAGATGATCATGACAACGTCGCCGCTGCGGTAGTTCAAATGTCATGTATTTCTTTCTTCCAATGCTTGCTCCCTGTGCACCCGCTAAAGCAGGTACGGCGGCGCCCGGCGCACTATTCATGAAAAAATGCGCGAAAGATTGTGTCTGCGGCCGAAGGACTCTGAGGCTTCGATTGTCCCAGATGAGTCGCTATCGATCATTTGGAACAACTGCTGCAAATCATTCCTCAGTCATCAGTCATAGTGGTCTAACATGGTCTAACCAACAAGCAATCGGATTCAACCAACAAAAATTGGATATCCTGCTCAGTTAGCAGACGAATTTACAGAAATTATATATATATATATATAAAGTCTAAACTGATGCGATTTTTCACTTTTGCTTAAGCTGATGCTATATACTTTTGCTAAACACATGGCTTGCTGGAACATTCCCCATTTAGTTCGATGATGATTCCCTCATTCAAACCTCCATTTATATAATATAGGATGTCCTGTTTGACTACCAAAGGGTAGATAAACTACGGATCACGCCGGTACACCCCGAGGTCCCTATTAGTTGAAACCTACAATTTTCCGGGCTTCAGTTGCAAAGCTGCTGGGAGAACTGCTGTTGGAAGCGGATCTGAATGTCATTTTTAGTGGAATTTCAATGGAATTTACTGGGGTTTAATCTTGGTTGGTGGTGCAATAACCATCTTGAAAAATATGAGTGCGTCAATGGGAAGGATTCTCCCATATATTGTGGAACATACAATTCATGTTTGAAACCACCAAGCAGTAATGGAATTTCATGGTATTCAGTCAGCTAAGTTGGTTCAGCTCACGAGTTTCTATGGGCTGTGGATGTGTTTAATTCGAACTTGTTAATGGGGTTTATAAACCAACAAATACAACTGGGGGGACGATCTTTCATTTGGAGCCTCATTCAAACAAATCTCAAACAAAAGGATACACAACGTATTTATAGTATAGGGACAAGGGATTTGGAGCCACTCCAGAAACAACACATTCAAAAACATTCAAAACCACAAAGAATAACTACCAAACCATTAAGAAACAACGTCCGATTAAAAAACAACCACCCCGCCCGAAGAGAGCAAAACAAACATGCCCATATTATTACATTTCAACTATAATCTATAAGAAGGGGGCGGCCTCACTTGTATTTTTTTTACACAGGCTCCACTTCTTCCCTTCTCAGGACTTTTAATCCCAACAAGTGACCGGTCAACACCCGGTCAGTGCCACTGCTCCCAATGGTGAATGGTACCATCTCCGGTCCTTTGAGGAGATGCTAGTCGAGGTAGCTGGATTTTATGGATGGCCATCCCTCCAAATATGGACTACTGTCAATAACGAATATTGTACCTACCATGTTTGGATGCTTTGTACATTTGGGGGTGATTTTCAATTGTTAGGCTACCAGCACATAAATAACCATAAATATAGGTATTGGTCCATCGCCATATCATGGCATGATCATGGAGTCACGCAAGGATGTTCCAACACACACACACACATAGATCCACCACTCTTCACTTTCGCATCTCAGGGTCTCATCTATATCCATCACACGCAAACGGCTCTGAAAGGCCGGGTCGGTACGTGCGCCTGCAACAAAAATTGGGATCGTGGATTCTCAACGCAGTGTACAGAGAGTACAATGAATGTGTTTCATATTTACCAAACCTATTCTGGGATGCCCCAAGGCTGGGATAGTTACTCTTACTAACTATCCTTCCAGTGACGTCACAATGAGATCGCTGTGATTTACGCTTAAATCTGTTGGATCCTTGCAGTTGCCTAAGAGTCCGAACCACACGTCGACCGTCGACCGTGGGTTACCAGAATCCCCGGTCTGACTATTCACTGGCTCATCAAAAGGCGATCAAACCGAAGCCAGCGGTTTGAACCCCACAAGAACGGCAACGCCTTCAATCAAATCTTCTAAGGTGAGCTGTCCGCTGCCGTCTTTGTCGATGCGCTCAAAAACCTGGAATCGCTTCTGCATCCTATCAATTCAAGTGCAAATGAAACCACATGACATGTCTATTGACACTTTCTATGTGAAAATGTGTGCCGGGTATTGAACATGGATATTTTGTAACTGTAGATTCACTGTAGATAATATGCTGTGAAAGCATTGCGCAATATTGTGCATTAATATATGCAAGTAGACATAGTTGATTCATATTATTTATGCGTTTGTCCATACAATTCCATACATATGTATATGTGTATATATATGTGTATATATATATGTATATATATATGTATATATATGTACATATGCGCGCACTAATCCCGTAGGACTAATGACGGTCCAACAGCAATGGCAACTGCCAAGCGTGGAGGTCCTACATACAAGACATGTCAAATTTATCAAACATATCTCCAATGAATGTAATCATTATAATCATGTTTGGTCATATGCCTGAAAATGTTGAGGGACAAGTCTGTTCGAATTCGTTTCCTCTTGTTCTTTTCTCATCTTAACATTAACATCAATTGGTTTATATATCTATATATGTATACATGTATATATATATATATATATATATATACAAATACAACAGCTGGGACGCAGGTGGCATCAGGACTTCGTCGAAATCGAAAAAAATCATGGGTTGGAATCAGCTGGAAACATACCAAAATGGAGGGGCAACATGTAGCCATGGGCCGTCCAGATATAAATCATTTTGTAGAGAATCAGCAGAGAGCTATACAAAGTGGCCCCCCCTTGAAAGCTAAGTTGGTTTTGCACATTAGGTTAACCATGGTTTATGACGAAGAATTACATCTATACACATACATACATACATACATACATACATACATACATACATACATACATACATACATACATACATACATACCATTACATACATACATACATACCATTACATACATACATACATACATACATACATACATACATACATACATTACATTACATTACATTACATTACATTACATTACATTACATTACATTACATTACATAACATTACATACATACATACATACATACATACTTACATACATACATACATACATACATACAAGAAATATACACATACATAATATCAAATATATATGTATATTATATATATATATATAACTATACACATACAAATTATTGGGGTCGTAAGCCAAAAAATCTAATTGGACGGGTCACAACCTTGTATAGTTTATCTTATGTAATTTCCACATGCATTGCAGTGAACCATTGGGTACATGTTCCATATGTTGAATGCGCACTTCAAATTGCTTGCGTCATTTCAAACAGAACACGACCACGATTACAATTGAAACAACCCATAGGGTCCATTTCTGCCGAAACAGTTTGCGTATGTTCGCGTACATGATTTACTTGCAAAATCACTTCTGTGCCAAATATCAACCAAAGGAGAACACCTTTTGACCACCCAAGAGAACAAACTGATCACCCGAAGGCCCGCAGCCAAGATGCCTTAGCCAACGTCTTACCTTTGTGACTCGTGTTGATGTGATGACGGTCAGGAGAACTGCAGGGATATAAACACTGGATGGGAACTGGCTCCTCAAAAAAAAATGATCGTAATGATGCATGCTGATACATAAACCATAAGCATTCTTCATAGTGACTAGTGAAACCAGTAGGGAGGCCCTTGGGAGCTCCAGAATAAGAGGACCAAAACCAGGCCCAGATATGTCCAGGTGGCCCTATCTCCATGTCTGAGGAATAATTCGGTCCTAACAACACTAACAAGAGTAAAGGACCCAGCAAGCGCACGTGGACATAACACATCGATGATCAACAAAAACAGCACCTTTTAGGTGGTTACTGCACACTATGCAGCTGAATCTCCGTGATGAAGGAAACCACAGAAACCACAGGTGGGAAACCTCGGCGTCCAAGTGGCTATCTTGTTGAATCTCTGCTTCCATCTCTTCGGCAAGGTTCTGCACATCATTTTCTCTCGCCTGTTGAGTAGGCTTAGCGGTTGGGTGTGGAGTACATAGAAACGTTTTGACCAAACCATTTTGGGCCGAGAAGTCCAGATTTGTCACGCCGCATGCCCGAAAGAGCAACAGGTTTCTTTTACAATGATCACCGAATTTGTAAGAATTTCACTTGAGAGGGGGAACACGAAAGGTAGGTAAGCAAGAAAGGAACCGAAGAAAAAATGAAGGGGAGAGGGGAGGGAAAAATACATAAAGTGGAGTCTGGTAAAAGCGACGGGGCCATTTTCTTTCCAAAAATATGAAGGGGAGTCTGGTAAAAACGACTGAAAGGCTTCGGCGATGTGGTTGGGGTTGGTGGTGGTTGTGGTGTTGGTGGTGTTGGTGGTGCTGGTGGTGTTGGTGTTGTTGGTGTTGTTGGTATTGGTGTTGTTGGTGTTGTTGGTGGTGGTAGTGTTTCTGGTGTTGTTAGTGTTGTTAGTGTTGTTGGTGTGGTTGGGTTTGTTGGTGGTGTTGGTGTTGTTGGTCGTGTTGTTGGTCGTGTTGTTGGTGTTGGTATTGTTCGAGTTTGTGTTGTTGTTGTTGCTGTTGTTGCTGCTGCTGCTGTTGATGGTGTTGTTGTTGTTGTTGTTGTTGTTGTTGTTGTTGTTTGTTGTTGTTGTTGTGTTGTTGTTGTGTGTTGTTGTGTGTTGTTGTGTGTTGTTGTGTGTTGTTGTGTGTTGTTGTGTGTTGTTGTGTGTTGTTGTGTGTTGTTGTGTGTTGTTGTGTGTTGTTGTGTGTTGTTGTGTGTTGTTGTGTGTTGTTGTGTGTTGTTGTGTGTTGTTGTGTGTTGTTGTGTGTTGTTGTGTCTTGTTGTTGTTGTGTGTGTTGTGTGTGTTGTTGTGTGCTGTTGTGTGTTGTTGTGTGTTGTTGTGTGTTGTTGTGTGTTGTTGTGTGTTGTTGTGTGTTGTTGTGTGTTGTTGTGTGTTGTTGTGTGTTGTTGTGTTTTGTGGTGTGTTGTGGTGTGTTGTGGTGTGTTGTTGTGTGTTGTTGTGTGTTGTTGTGTGTGTTTTGTGGTGTGTTGTGGTGTGTTGTTGTGTGTTGTTTGTGTTGTTGTGTGTGTTGTTGTGTGTTGTTGTGTGTTGTTGTGTGTTGTTGTGTGTTGTTGTGTGTTGTTGTTGCGTTGTTGCGTTGTTGTGTGTTGCGTGTGTTGTTGTGTGTCGTTGTGTGTTGTGGTGTGTTGTTGTGTGTTGTTGTTGTGTGTGTGTGTTGTTGTGTGTGGTTGTGTGTGTGTTGTTGTGTGTTGTTGTGTGTTGTTGTGTGTGTTGTGTGTGTTGTGTGTGTTGTGTGTGTGTGTGTTGTGTGTTTTGTGTGTTGTGTGTTGTGCGTTGTGCGTTGTGCGTTGTGCGTTGTGCATTGTGCGTTGTGCGTTGTGCATTGTGCGTTGTGTGTTGGTGTTGTTGTTGTTGCTGTTGTTGTGGTTGATGTTGTTGTTGTCGTCGTCGTCGTTGTTGTTGTTGTTGCTGTTGCTGTTGGTGTTGTTGTTGTTGGTGTTGGTGTTACCCCTGCAGCGTTTTTGCTCGGTTCCGTAGTGGCCGAAAATCGTCAAATCGGTGGTGTTTTCGCGTGTTTTTGCAACTCTCAGAGCAAAAAAACACCGTAAATACCGATGTTTTTGGCGGGTCGGAAGCCCAAAACCACGGTATTTACGATGTTTTTTGCCTCTGGTAGTAAAAAGCACGGTATTTACAGTGTTTTTTGGCCAGCACCTAGCAAAAACACTGGTATTTACGGAGGTTTCACCATGTAGCAAAATGTGGTTTCTTGATCCGAAAAGAACAAAAATACTGTAAATTACAATGTTTTGAGTCTGCTCTTAGGGTGCGTGGGAGGTGTGGAGGGGGGGGGGTTACTAAAATGACTAGCAATCTCCTGAAGAATCAGGTAACGGGGCTGGCCGCCCTCCCCTTTACTTCGTAAAGTAAAACTCAAGGTAGCCCCTCTGGAGCTACCTTTCGTGACCAGGTCCCCTGGTTTCGGCAAGGTTCCACCAGGTTTAAGTGGCAAAAAGACAAAACAAAAAAACAATAGGTCCCCTTTCATGTCACTGCGAAAACCTGTAAGAACCCCTTCTTCTGTCCCCAAATGTCCTCAATGAAGAAACAAACACATAAACATCTCTTTGGTGGATTTCGATTTCTGGAAGATCCCTCGCAGAACTCGCCTCTGCAAACGTATCCTGAGGCCATCCCGTTGGGGGGCTACCCCCGCAGTGGCTCCAGCCCCGGATTTTTATATTCAATCCTTGGTTAACCTTACTATAGTGTACTGAAAATTTACTGACATACCACCGATGCATTGAAGGGAAAAATGGCACAGATTTTGCAGAATGGTTTGCTACTTTTGCGGCGGTGGAACAGCTCTTAAAATAAATTAGCTAATCGTTTTGGGCCCATATCTGGATAAAGATCTGGATAGATTCACAATATCCCTTTTGTATTCACATTATACAACCGTTAAGTTTTGTCGGCTGAAGCCACGGGCGTAAGTGTTGTGTTGATATGATCTATCAACATAGTTCCTTCTCTCTCTCTCTCTCTCTTTCTCTCAATCGCAAAGAAATTATTTTACTTCGTGTGATCCCCACCGTGGCATATATCCTGACGCATTTCCTAACATTCTATGTGACAGATATACATATATTATAATAATGTATATATATATATTTTTTCTGACATTGTATCTGCCATCTTATCTGACACATATTTGGACATACTATCTGACATGATCTGACATGTATCTCTCATAGATTCTTGCATTCTATCTGACTTTCTATCTAGTGACATTCTATCTAGGAATCCGGCGGGGCCCGGAGAGCTGTCGACTGGCCAGCAGATGAAGACGACAAGAAGGAGGGTGAAGGAGGAGGAGGAGAAGAACAGAATCTAGAGACCTTTGTCTGGCAGGTGGGGAAACACATAACAAGTATGATTATTTTCAAACATGTCACCCAAACACCCACACACAGGTACATATATAATATGATATGATAAAATAAAACAATAAAATATAATACAATATAATATAATATAATACAATAAAAATAATATAATATAATATAATATTAATATTAATATAAAATTATACATATATATATAATATATAAAATATAGATAATATAATATAATATAATATCATAACATATAATATAATATAATATAATATAATGTAATATAATATAATATATTATAATATATAATAATATACATATATATATGGGAACATATAATAAGTATAATTTATAATTTAAAATATATAATATAATACAATATAATATAATATAATATAATATAATATATATATATATATTATATATATACAATATATTAAAGATATGTCATATATATATATATATACTATTATATATATATGCGTGTGTGCACACACCAGCGGCCGAATGGTCTAATCCGAAAAATTGTTGCAGCCAGGCGCAACAACCACCGCCACATTGAGGTTTACAACACCAAACCTCGACGTCACTGCCATGGAATACAATGAAGGCAAGAGGGCATATGATATTATATATATAATATTTAAAAGATGAGAGTTAATATTAATAGATGATAATTGCAACTCAAAACAAAAAATATATGAGCAATCTCGAAAACCCTAGGTTCACGGAAAGGACACCCACAAAATTGGGAAGGTCCCATTGCTTACCACACGTTTGTACAATAATGATATATGGTAAACTTGGGGGGCATCGCTTGCAGCAAACTGCTACATGTATAATATATATATATATAAACATATAAATATAATTAACAGACATCAATGACATAACCTTGAAAAGGGGTATCGCTAATTTGGGGAGGTCCCATCGCTTGCGGTTTGTTTTTACCAACTCCATCAATTTCCATAAACCAATGTCCGTCCAATACATATTTAGTATTGCCGGGGTTTTTGCGGTGGCTCATATATATAACTGATTAAACTCAGTATAAGAGTGATGTGTTTGTTCTTGGCGGGAGAGGAACTATACTTACTATATATTGAATTACATTTTCTACAAACATTTGGGGACTTAAAATTAAAGTGGGAATGTGTATGAGACAATGGGCATATCTCAACGTCTCTTTTGAATCATGACTTCAAGCGTATGGTATAGGTGTCACAAACGAAGATGGACCACTGCAACAACCGCTGGACGGGTGTAAACGCGTTGTACGAGGCCGACGTCAAGTTGGTCACAGGTATATACATATATAATGAGAATATAACTTAAACCCATATGTCCCTCGTCTTCCAGTTACCTGTCAGATACAACAGGTAACCAAGCCCAAACTCCTAAGTTAGGACTCCTAAGGTGAAATCACACTGAGTACCTCAAAGGTGAAGGTTAGGGTAATGATCCGGCTATGTATATATATATATATATAAATGCATATGTAAATATACATAGGTAAATACATATATATATATATGATATATATATATATATATGTATGTTTAAAAAAACAGGTATATGTATAATATATATATATATATATTTATAATGTATACAATTATATATTTGTTGTCTGGTTATACTACCCATGATTGCTGATTGTACCCCAACTCTATCCCTCTGAGGTCACCCAGGGACTTCGAAGCTAGCAAAGACTATCCAATTCCCAAGCACTCAACATAGATTCCCAATAACACACTTCATAAATCCAAACAAAATATATACCCTCTGGTAAACTAACTATGGTTAATGGTGGTCTAATTATGGCTAATCATGGTTAAATGGTTGATAAATGAATACCCTTTGGTAAACGTTTACATAACTATGGAACATCACCATGCAACAGCTAAATCAACAAGAAATGGGGCCATTTTCAATAGCTACGCCCAGCAGCACGATGGTCAACTGCGATCCCACGAAGATGATGGCGGTCGCCGGGTGTTCCGTGATGATGGGCACGGCTAATTCGCCCCAACCTGGGGCGGAATTGGTCAATCTTGGCTGGTGCAAGGCGGGGAAGAAAGGTCCAAGAGGCAACACATATTGGGAAAAAAGCCAATATACATAATTACATATATAGAATATATAATATTATATAATTCTATACTGGTTGGTGAATTCACCCCCTCTCAAAAATATGAAAGTTAGTTGGCAGTTGGGATGATGAAATTCTCAATATATGGAAAAATAAAAATCATGTTCCAAACCACCAACCAGTATATATATATATATATGTAGGTGATTTATGTGGTAGGTAAGTTGCCTTAGTTCACTGAACCTATGGTTTATGTATGGAGGATATACCTGTGTGGCACCTTGGGATGGAAACGACCCAACACATGCGCCACAAAAATGTGACGAAACATCCGAGAATTGGATGAAACAAAAAACCGCAGAAATCCCTACATTTACTGCAGGAAAAAAATCACATGACATGTGTTATAATAAAAATAACAATAATAATATGTAGTGACGGCCATTGAAGATGGGATGAACATTGAAGATTGGCTTGGCTTCTGGAACTTCGGCACGGATATGATCTTGCTCGGTAAAAACCAGGTTTCGGGATTAGCAAACAACCAGACTGATTCCAGCGTGTGTTGATTCAGGGAGTCTTTAAGTTGATCCTTTATACTCTCCGAGAAATCCTGGTCGTTGGATCTATTCCTTTTGTTCCTAAAAAAATATCCTGGTTGGTGGTTTCAACCCCTCTGAAAAAATATGATTCGTCAGTTGGGATGATGACATTCCCAATATATGGAAAGTCACAAATTTAATGTTCCAAACCACCATCTTTGGTGTTCCTTGGGTATTAAATAATATCTAATATCAGGGGGATGGAACTAAAATCCCACCACACACAGTCCGACAAGGAACCATCACCTGCGATAACTGTCTTGAACAACAGCAAGTTTGCCGACATGACGCTGGATGTTGCCCCTGAATCGTTGCTTGGCGAAGGTGAGATCCCTAAATAGCAATGGACAACCCACAATTTCTAGATGGCTCGCACGTTTAGATGCCCATTTAAAGAAAAATTATGGGGATTTCCCATTGCCATGCCTACCAGTATTCTCTGGTGATAGCATGTGATACCAGTAAGATGGACCGTTGAAGTTTGGAACTTGGAACAAGGCTTCTGTAAGGTCCATGTGATAGATTTTCCCATGGAGCAACGCTTCCCTTCTTATGGCATTACATGGCTTTGACTGAAACCTGGGTACCACATTTCATGCACTGATTGCAGTCAGCGCCGTGACTCGCCAAGTGTCCCGAACAGAACTCGCAGCTGCTGAACATAGTGCTGTCCCGAGCGATGATTTCCTGCATCGACTTGGGAGCTTCAAAGCAGCCACTGCACACACCAACACAATTAATTCAAAGGTCTGATATACAACACACTAACGCTGGAAAGAACAAAGGACTTAGCCATTGCAAATGACAATCAAGAAAACATGTCAAAACCAAATGACTGTGCAGACCATCAGAATTCAAGAGTACAACCGCGCTTTGTTGGTTGGTATGGTTCTCTTGCATCCTTTAAATTTATTGAAATGTAAACACTGCCGCCGGCTATCCATAAAGAACGCATGGCTAACAACACTGAAGAAATCTGAGCCTCCCTTCGGTCCTGCATGATAGGATGCACCACCTCAGGCAGTTTCGTTTGTTGATCCCCTTCATCCCTCAAGAATCTGCTCGACCAATATCAGCGAAAAAAAAATCCATGCCAACTAACTATAGATCCTGCCAAATAGATCCACATAGGGCGGTGAAAGATTATTTTCTTAGACCAAATGGTGGTTCACGATTCTCAGGGTTGAGTTGTTGTTGTTTGGACATGGCAACCCTCGAAAAAAAGGATACATATATTAATTATAACAACATGTAGTACTCATATCACAAAGAAAAACAAACTGCTGACATATATGGACCTAGCTGACCCGTTGACGCGTTTGTCGTCTCAGAGCTTTTGCTAAACAAAAACAATTTCTCTGTTGACACAAGTCATCCCCGCCGGTCACGGTAAGAAGCGCCTCAACCATCAACATGGCCCACCCAGTCATCACCTGGCTGGAAGCCCGATATTTGCTCATAGCTGCCAAGTTACTGCTGTATATTGTATACAGTTACCAGTAGTGCCGCGCAAGGCGGTGGCGAAAGTCTCAATGATGCGAAACTATAGGGGAGGTGCGTTGTTGTGATGCATAAAAGGCAGAGCGAAGCCACTGATGGACCGAACGGTGGTTGTGCTATTTGGAATGGTTGGAGTGGTCACCTCACCCACAACTGCTGGATGTAGTGTTGTTTAGTGTAGCGCAAGGAAATTGTAGCTGTAGTTGTTGTTGAAGTTGTATTGTACCGAAGCTGTAATTGTAATTGATGTTGTTGCAGTTGTAACTTTGTAGAAGTAGTAGTAGTAGAAGTAGTAGAAGCAGTAGAAGTATAGAAGTAGTAGAAGTAGTAGAAGTAAGAGGAGTAGTAGAAGTAGTGGTAGTAGCAGAAGCAGCAGTAGTAGCAGTAGTAGTAGTAGTAGTCGTCGTGGTGGTGGTGGTGGTCGTGGTAGTAGTAGTAGTAGTAGTAGTAGTAGTCGTCGTGGTGGTGGTGGTGGTGGTGGTCGTGGTAGTAGTAGTAGTAGTAGTAGTAGTAGTACTAGTAGTACTAGTAGTACTAGTAGTACTAGTAGTACTAGTAGTACTAGTAGTACTAGTAGTACTAGTACTAGTAGTAGTAGTAGCGGTAGTAGTAGCAGTAGTACTAGTAGCAGCAGCAGTAACAGCAACAGTAATAGTAATAGTAACAGTAATAGTAATAGTAACAGTAACAGTACAAGTAATAGTAATAGTAATAGTAGTAGTAATGGTGGTTGTTGTTTTCGTTGTCGTTGTGGTTGTCAATGTTGTTGTCGGTATTGTTGTCGGTGTTGTTGTTGTTGTTGTTGTTGCTGTTGTTGTTGTGGTTGTGGTTGTGGTTGTGGTTGTGGTTGTGGTTGTCGTTGTCGTTGTTGTTGTTGTTGTGTTTTGTTGTTGGTTATTGTTGTTGTTGTCGTTGTTGTAGTTGCTGTTGTTGCTGTTGTGGTCGTTGTCGTTGTCGTCGTTGTCGTCGTTGTTGTTGTCGTTGTTGTTATTGTAGCTGTAGCTGTAGTTCTAGTTGTAGTTCTAGTTGTAGTTGTAGTTGTAGTTGTAGAAAGCGTCGTGCAGTGTAGTGGTAATGCGGTGTAGTGCAGTGCAGTGTAGCGTAGTGTAGCGGAGTTGTAGTTGTAGTTGTGGCTGTAGTTGTAGTTGTATTGTAGCACAATTGTAGCTGTAGTTGTAGTTGATGCTGATGTAGTTGTAGTTGTAATGTTGTAGGTGTAGCTGTAGTAGCTCTTCTACTTGGTTGTAGTAGTGGTGGTGGTAGTGGTGGTGGTAGTGGTGGTGGTAGTAGTAGTAGTAGTAGTAGTAGTAGTTGTTGTTGTTGTTGTTGTCGTAGTGTAGTGCAGTTTAGTGTAGTGGTAGTGTAGTGTGGTGAAGTGGAGTGTGATGAAGTTGTAGTTGTAGCCGTGGCTGCAGTTGTAGTTGTATTGCAGTGTAATTATAGTTGTCGCTGTTTTTTTTTGGGTAGTTGTTGCTGTAGTTGTTGTAGCTGTATTGTAATGTACTTGTAGTGTCGTGTTGTGTGGTGAAGGGGAGTGTAGCGTAGAATAGTGTATATAGTGTAGAGTAATGGAGTTGCAGTTGTAGTGGTAATTGTAGTTGTAGCTGTCGTGTAGCGGAGTGTAGTTGAGTGTAGTGTAGTTGTAGCTGTAACTGTAGTTGATGTTGATGTTGCTGTAGTTGTAGTTCTAGCTGTAGTAGTAGTAGTAGTAGTCGTAGCAGTAGTAGTAGTAGTAGTAGTAGTAGTAGTAGTAGTAGTGGTAGTAGTAGTAGTAGTCGTAGTAGTCGTAGTACTACTACTACTACTACTACTACTACTACGACGACTCGTACTCCTACTACTCCTACTCCTACTACTACTGCTACAACTACAACTACAACTACAACTACAACTACTACTACTACTACTACTAGTAGTTGTAGTTGTAGTTGTAGTTGTAGTTGTAGTTGTAGTTGCTGTTGCTGTTGCTGTTGCTGTTGCTGTTGCTGTTGTTGTTGTTGTGTAGTGTGGTTGTGTAGTGTGGTTGTGTAGTGTGGTTGTGTAGTGTGGTTGTGTAGTGTGGTTGTGTAGTGTGGTTGTGTAGTGTGGTTGTGTAGTGTGGTTGTGTAGTGTGGTTGTGTAGTGTGGTTGTGTAGTGTGGTTGTGTAGTGTGGTTGTGTAGTGTGGTTGTGTAGTGTGGTTGTGTAGTGTGGTTGTGTAGTGTGGTTGTGCAGTGTGGTTGTGTAGAGTGGTTGTGTAGTGTGGTTGTGTAGTGTGGTTGTTGTAGTGTGTTGAACGTGGTGTGTTTTGCACATTTTGACTTCGAAAATGTGCTTTGCGCCACAACAGCGTGCACTTTTTCGACATCTCAACGTCCAAAAGTGGACCGAACATGACCGAACGTAGTGTTTTGTATATGTTGACTTGGAAATTCGCTTCGCGTACCAACAGCGTGCACTTTTTCGACGGCTCAACTTCCAAAAGTGTTCTGAACCTGGCGTGCTTTGTACATTTTGACTTCGAAAGACGCTTCGCGCCACAACGGCGTGCACTTTTTCGACATGTCGACTTCCAAAAGTGCTCCGAGCATGAGGGTTTTTAGCATTTGGCTTCGAAATGTGCTTCACGCCACAACAGCGTGCACTTTTCCAACATCTCATCTTCCAAAAGTGCTCCGGCGTTGGTGTTTTGTATGGTTTTGCTTCGAAATGTGCTTCGCACCACAACGACGTGCAATTGTTCATCTCTCATCTGCCCAGATGGCTCCGCACCCGCCTCTTTGGCGAGCCTATTTTTCGACCTTCTGGAGCCACAAATCATTGGGAAAACGCAGTGTTTCGCGACTTTTCTATCTTTTCGCGCACCTGCATCTTCTTTCTTCTGACTCGTTCTCTTCTCGGATATCCTTTCTTCTTCTCTTCTCTTCTCTGATTCTTCCCACCTCTGCTTTTCCATCTGCCCATGTTGTCGGAAGTTTGACTTCGAAACTTCCTTCGATTATACATAATCATACAGATTGGACGAGAATGAATTCTTCAAACAAGATTCCCATTTGGGTGAAGTGTGTTCCCCACCTGCCAGGTGAGGGTCTCTAAAAATGATTAGACTTGCCTTCTCCTTCCCTCCTTCTTCTTCTTCTTCTTTTTCCTTCTCCTTCTTCTCATCGGGCACTGCTGGACCTCAACCGCGAGCTCCAGATCTCAGTGGGCACTGCCGGACTTCAACCACAAGCTCCAGATCTCAGTGGGCACGGCCGGACCTCAACCGCGAGCTGCAGATCTCAGTGGGCACGGCCGGACCTCAACTGCAATCTCAGTGGGCAGTGCGGGTCCGTCAGTGCCCATGTCAGAGAGAATGTCGAAATAGATGCCAGATAGAATGCCTGAATAGAATGTCACAGATCGAATCCCAGAATGAATGCCAGAATGAATGCCAAAAAAGATGCCAAAAAAGATGCCAAATAGAATGTCAGAAAAAATGCCAGAATGCCAGAGAAAGTGTGCGAATAGATGCCAGAAAGGATGACAGATAGGATGTCAGAATAGATGCCGGATAGAATTCCAGAAAAGAATGTCAGAATAGAATGCCAAATAGGATGACAGAATAGAAAGTCAGAAAAACACTCACACACACACATATATATATATATATACACGCCATGTATATTGTATACTTCCAGATGTGACAAAATAATTTGTCAAGGTGGGGATCACTCGAGGTCAGGTAACCTGTTTATGCTTTTGAATGTTCCATTTTTTATCGCCTCCGTGCGGCTCTTCTAGCTCATATCAAGAGTAAAGTTATATGCGTTGTTCCTTCTGTGTAACTATATAGGTAGTCCGAATTCCGATCGTAACGAACAAATTGATTGCGGAAATGTGACCAAAGTTAGTTTACTCAAGGGCCATTATTTTAAGAACAGTCTCAAAAAGAGGCTTTACTTGCACGGCCACATGCTATCTGTACATACAAGGTGGTGCCCCATAGATACCTAAGATGGTTTAGTCGACTGGTATAGCTGTTGGGTCTGCCGTAGATAAACTGAACTTAACCAGTTAACTGGGTTAAATTCAACCACCAACAAACATGTCTCCGAAGGGAGATACTGCCCCCTTGAAAAATCAAGAAATTGGGCATGTCAGCCTGGAACTCGAAGGATCAATCATCACCAACTTTTGGAGCCCAGTCAAAATGCTTTTTGGGGAGTTGTTTGTGACCTCTGCTTCTCTTAGAAAAACCAACTGACCAACTGACCAGCCAACCAACCAACACACCAACCCACCAACCCGCAAACCTCCTACTCCCTTTGAACAGGACGAACTGTCTGCAGCTGGGGCGCTACAAAACACAGCAGGAAACACCAAAGCAAGGTACCTCAGCTGCAGCTGGGGCGAAACAAATTTGGGTTTGACTCAAAAAGTGGTTTTAGAGCATATGAGACCGCTTTTTTTTGTGTGTGTGTGTGTATCTTTTTGGTGCGTAACCATTCAAAAACAAGGTCAATAAGTTTGAGTCATGCCTATTTGGGTGCCACTTTAGTTTTGAGTCAAGGGCAACATCTCCAGGTCATTGGCCTCGGGTGTGGCATTTTGACTTGTAAGTATCATCTTTGTGGGGGCCGAAGATGCTGATGAATTGGGTGGCAAAACAAATTAAATCACTTTTGACCACTGACTGGAGGTATCGAACAAAATAAGGCTGCATTCTGTGGAATATCAATATACAGAAGTACAAAGTCCTTACATGACATACTTGTAGCCCTTACATATGATAGGTATTGTAAATCCGTTTGGAAAATCCATGCTTTGGAAAACCGATGTTTTTTTTTCGGCTATTCGCACCCCCCCTGGCTTTCAAAGGGAGTCCCGTGCTTTCAATGTTGAAATCTAATTAGAAAACTGAGAAAAGGGGAGCCCCGTGCTTTCAATGTTGAAATCTATTTAGAAAACTGAGAAATGCCACCACCACTGCAACTACATCCTGATAGTTTTCATGGACCCAATGATAAATGCAGACCCAATGGGCCGGGACTTGCCAGCTAGTTTCTGCAACAATTCTTGCGTGGCCCTCCAGAAGCATAACCCCAGGAGACCCAAGGAATCAGGGACTTGCACCGATCATTATCCAGGTTGGAAATGAGCAAACCAGAAAGGTCAACGTATTATCATCAACAAACCCCCAGGAATCGTAAGTAGTTTAACCCAACTCACCCTACCTACCCTACTTGCAACTGAACTAACCTGGCCGTGAACCAAGCAGGCCTCTGATCAAATAAGAGGTGATATGCAGAGGCTGCAGAGGTAATAAACCATATTCCCCATGGATCCATGATCCAAACACTTCCTTCTCATCATGCCCCAAAAAAAAAAGAAAGTACGCTGGATCCATGGGGTTTGATGTTCCCGCTGCTTGGATGCTTAACCCTCTCCTTTATCTAGATTAAAAAAAGATCTAATTTAGGTAGAGAAGACATATTGACATCCCACAACGCACTCCAAGATTGGATGATCTATTTCCCAATATTAATAGGATACACACACACATAAATAAATAAATAAATAAATATATATATATATATATATACATACACGCACACTCAATATTTCGTTATCGTCGCAGGAAATTTAGTTAGAAAACTTCAGAGTTACGGACGATGGCCATGGTCAGCACACACACCGTCATGTCAACCACATCATCATGTCAACCACCCGCATCATCAAGCAGTTGGGAAGTGTAACAGTTCGGAAGCGTGTGATCACGGGTGAAAACACTCCCGGGCACGAAACTCTGCCTCTTTTCGGGTTGAAAAAACTGACAGGCCCGGAGCACTTCCTGAAGATGAGCTCGAGAAAAAATGCGCCAGACTGTAGCAAGATCGATTTCACAAAAAATCGCGAAAAACTGATGCTTTCGGGACAGCCAAAGTCCGCACTGCTGATGCTGCGCCAACGCTGCTCGATTTGGTGCGACGCTGTTGCTATGCGGGTTTGCAACCGCTTGTGACAAAACGCATGGATGCATGCCAAGTTGCCGGAGCTGCCGCCTGTCAGCATGTCTTTGCGCAGTCAGCCACGGCTGCTTCCTCCACTGATTGTAACAAACCGTGGTGAGCAGCACTGTGAATCGAGTGTGTGACAGGATCCATCGCCCCGGCGATTCCACAACCCCCCTGGCAGTTGCTGCGTGAGCATGGCGCAGAAATATGGAACAGCTTAGTAGTAGACAACCTCTGGTCCCTATGCGAGAGGGTTCATTGAATTGGCAAGCTCAAGGCCCGACCTGGAGAACCAGCTCTTCAGGCATCGGGCTTGCAACAGATCGAGCGTGGGCTTGGCAGGACACGCAGACACAGAAATTGCGAGACGCCTCGACTTTCCCCGCAACAGCGGCTTTCGCAGCTTCAACTGAAAGACACAGCGCGGCAAACACCAATGTGAGACTGAGCATCACTGACACGGCCAATGGCCTTGGAGATTCTACATCTGCCTGGACAGTTGCTGCAAAGGTATGGCCTAAACAACACAGGGGATAGAGACGGCTGTGATCAGGCCCCGCATCCGTATCCAAATCTTCGAGCGCCTCATTCCATGACTAGAGAAGGACTAGGGTCGAGACACTCTTCTCTATCCAATTCTTTGCGGCAACTTGCATCTTGAGCAAAATTCCAACCAGTACCGGTGGGAGAGCAGCTCGCAGGTCAGCAAAGGACAGAGACGCCAAGAGTCCAACAGTCATTTGTTCTTGCTGCAGCGCAAGGCCCCAAACGTCCAAACGAGACGCGCGCAAGAAACCACTTAGGCAATGACAAAGGCCGATGCGTGCGAAGTCCACCGCTTGATCTTGCAGCAGAAGGTGCCGCGGCAGGCAACACGACATCGACTGGCGGTTGCCAGTGGTGTCTGATGGTGCCGCTGGGGAAAAAATAATGGGACGTTGCTGTGAATCCAAGTAAGTGGTGTGCAAATAAAAGGACAGAATCTCTGTGTGTAGATTCTCTTCGCCGGCTGTCTGCCAACGCCAGAGATGCGTTGCAAAGGGCCCAATGGCAACTACAACGTGCATGTCAAGCAGCTTCAGCAAAGCTTCTAAGTCCAACAGTAGGTTGCGCAGACCCAAGGCAGTCAAGCAAGTATCACAGCTGCCTCAGATTGAGCACGCAGCAACGCAGCGAAGCCGCCAGCAAAACCAGACGGGTGGAGAACGAACACTGTTGTCTGGGGTTGCTTCCCCACGTATTAGTTCCGTGGTTGTAAGTAGCAAGTGTGCGTGGCATACAGTAAAACACACAGTACCGTCACGATCTCGGAAAGAGACAAAGCAAGCATTCGAAGCACCTTCCTTCCTTCCTCCCTTGCTTGCTTGCTTCCTTCCTGCCTTCCTTCCTTTTTCCCCTTTATTTTTGTTGATGCATTTATATTTATTATGTTTGATGCCTTTACATTTTCTTTTTTGAATTGCAGCTGGAGATTGCAAAACCTACCGTGCTGGCTACGCAAAGGGAAAAATTGGGTTGCAGAAGCTGCAGAAGAGGGAGCTGGAAGGCAGTTCAGAGCAGAAGCAGCCCAGATAAGAGGCCGCTCAGAGAAGAAGTAACTGTAGCTGAGCGGGGTAGCTAGGAGGTGCCATTCATTTGTTCCTTCATTCATTGCTTCGCTGATTCATCCATTCATTGATTCATTGGTTGATTGACTCATGAAATCAATATGCATTGCGTCACTAATTCATTGATTCATCGGCTCAAGAATTCATTGACTGACTCATTGGTTCTTTGATTCACTGAATCATCATCCCTGTTTCATTGGTTCGATGACTGTTGATTCTTTGATTCATTGGTTCATTGATTCATTGACTCATTGATTCATTGATTCCCTGATTCATTGATCGATTGATTATTTCATTGATTCATTGGTTCATTGATTCATTGTGGTTCACTGATTCAGATTCATGGGTCCATTCATTCAGTGGTTCGGTGTTCATGCATTCATTGACTCAATAATTCGTCGGTTCATGCGTTCATTGGTTCCTTGAGTCAGTTGTGCATGGCTTCTTTCGGGTCATTTCATTGGCAACTCTTTAAATCTCCTTCACCACTTGATCATTCGTTGGTGCACCTGACAACTTAACACTTCATTGCTTCTGCATCTCAATAACTTTCCTATAGGTCATTGAATTCTTAAAGGTGGCTCAACATGTTCGAAATTTCCGCCCCGATGCGGGCCGGGTACTATCTGGTGATAGTCAACGCTACATTATTATGTATAATCTAAAGGTGTTCCCAATATTGTGATATATACTAAGCATTGGAAAATATATGTATATGTAAAATCTATATGCAAATGTAAATAACTATATATATATATTGCACAATTTGCAAATAAAAGTCATTATCGCATTTAAACATACATATATATATATATATGTGTGTATAAACAAATATCTATATATATATAAATAAATATATATATATATACGTGATTATATATGTATATGTAAAAAAATTAATTATATACACCCCTATTTGGTTGATGATCAACCGCCATGCGGCGCATGCAGGTGGCCATCATCGTGGCCAACTTGTGCAGTTCCTTCAGGGTGCGCACCTCTGCGGCCATCATGGAGAAATGTTGGCCAAATCTTACTTGTGCTTAGTAGGGAATCAGGGAATGATCCACAATAACTATCAATAATAATCCCATTCCCCCATTCCCATCCATTCCCTACTAAGCACCAGTAAGAAATGTCGATTGAACCAAAAAACATGTGAATTTAGCAACAAAAGATGGGATTTGACCAACCAAAAAACGGGATAATCTGGGTATAAGCAACAAGTCACGGGATAATGATTATAGATATTATAGATGGTGATTTAGCCAACAAATATAATGAATTTAACCAGCGAAAATGGTAGTACAATGGGTAGGTAATGGAATTGATATAAAGAATATCTGGGGACAGTAACCAATAGATACCAATAGTATTAGTGCAACATAGTGCGACTAATGGGATATTCATGTGGTTAGACATACATCGAATGATTTTTCGGATCCTGATGGTGGTTTGTTCATCCGCTCAAGACCAAAAATCTGCGACAGCATCCACGAAAGGACGACTACGCAAGGTATTTTAATAGCATGAAACTTCAGGGAGTTTGATATGTCTAAGTTTCTTCAGATTCAGCAGCGGTGAATTGGATGGACTTGGTTAAGCGAGGAATTCTTCCACAAAACATCTTGAGTTGCTGCAACGACAAGGTGCTTGTTACAACGAACAAAACTTTTACACGTGCAATTGTCTGACAAAAAACAGAGCAAAACTATCACTTTTTTGAAACCTTACAACAGAATTGATATACTTTGAAGCAACTAGCAAACAAGTGAATTGTCAGAAAAGATCAGATGTGTTCAGCAACAGAAATGGAATGTCTGCGCAACACCTCAGGACGTCAAGCTTTCTGCCTGTCATTGTTGCTTGATCAAAGTGCTTGTTTCGGAAGTGGAAGGTCCCAGCCACAAAAATGATGAGTTTACAGGACATTTGCGTGAAATCCACTGCTGTGCTAACCTATGCTAGAAGGCATGTACCCCCCAAAGGTTCCCCAGCATGCTTTTTTTTTGTATGATTATCTCCATCAGCCCAATTGCAGCATACAATTCTTCTCTCAAATCTCAATGATATTGGCGGAGAAACAAATCGCATAGGTGCATGACAAAAGAGGCAAAATCACCACTCACCCTTGAGAAACACATATCAATGATTGTCAAAGCCGATCATGCTTCTTTTTGCATGCCCTCAGGTCAACAAACAAATACTTGATAATACTTGAATGGTGGGAAAATACCCCTGGTCGAGATGTATACAGTCACTGGGTTGGCCTAAGAAAATCTGCAGCACAGTAGGAACATCTAAAGCCAAATATAATGAACATTAATTAATGACCTATATAATCTATATAAGGATGTCCATGGATGTCCTGATTTTATGCCCTTCAAGCAATTCCACAAGATTCAGCCGAGCAGCTCGTCGCAACCTCGGCTGCTGAAGTCCCCCACGCGACGTGTGCCATGAAATTCCCTGCGTATCTGTCATGCCATGCAGTCAACGCGCCATCTTGGTTGCGACCCAACAAGCTGTTCTTGTGTATTTTCTGTGTATATATATATAATGTATGTATGTATATATTTATGTACTAATTATTCTTATATCCGAGAATTGGCTGACAGGAACAAATGCAGGGTTTACTCCTACAGTACATGAAATGTTCAACTTTAAACAATAGATTTCCCTTTAATCAATTCGTTAAAAGCCATTAAGAACAATTCTTAATATGCGCAATGTTTGATGGTTAACCGTCATTCATTATGCAAATTCCTTACCACAATGGGGTTCAACGGTTCAACCAGCCAAAACAGAATGTTCAGAAACACCCCAAACTAATATTGATTACATACAATACGTATATATATATATATACATTAATATGATGCTTCCTGATATCATGTCACATCTCCCCACTATAATCATGGGTTATATCACCTATCCTATCCCCATTCCATGTTCTGCCGGCCCAACCCCAAGCGAATGACAAGCGAGTGACAAGCGAATCAGCCGAAAGATCCGCACCAAGCGCAAGACGCGGGTGACCTGTGGCTGGGATGGTGGCGCCCTGATGGCACTGAAGTTCGCCTCACCGTGGGGATGTTGATATCCCATATGCTCCATGTACGGTATATTTACCTACAAAACTGGGTGATTTTTAGGGCAAATGTTGGTCAATACTCTAGCACCATGGAGCATATGGGTATGATGTATCTAACCAATTGAGAAAATCAAGATTTATAGAATATTATATAATTATATACCGCAAAAGAGAGAATAGTTGGCAAAGTTGATTGATAACTATAGTATCACTGTTGGGTTTCTGGTAGATATATCTGTATGCCATGGGGTTAAGATAAATGGGGGGCATCACCTTGTACCCAACTGAGAATATCTCCGATAAATTCCACCAAACAGGGGGCACCATATCAACAAAGTCCAAAGCCCACAATGTCGTCCCAATTTTTCTCTATGTTTCATGGACAAAATGGGAAATGCCAGAAGATTGATACCCCATACTGTATCTGGTTTTGGAGATTCCAACAGTATATCAACAGATTGATACCCCACATTCCCAATACTCGTATAAAATATGGGAACCCAACAGTATTGGATGGTTTTTTTCACCTAATATATTTTCCCCGCTCAACCCCCCGGCCCCAGCTGCCGACATTCGAACCCTTCAACAAACTCCGCCTTGATGGAACCGAGGAAACCGAACTCCATGACATTCGCAGCGTTCATGACGATCTCCAACCAACCACAAGCCACCTGGCAGCGACGCATGGCCATGGTGGTGGTTGATCAACTTTCAGAAACGTGTTGATTACTGATGGACGAGAAAATGCCGGGCCTGGGGGCAGGGGCCATCAGGGATGAAGCATAGAATGCACCTACTGCGTGAGAAAAAAAAACTCATTCAATTCACGTCACTTATCTTTTAGTAGATGCTCAGTGATAATTATCATCAAAACATATATAAAAAATAAAACATCAAACCGACGAGATGAGCAATATAGGAAAGCTTGTAGGACAGTACCTAATGGCAAAGTACTAGACCACTCTAGCCCAGGCACCTACCGTTCATCAGTCGGTTTACTCAGTTCAAGTTCCATTTCAGGGGTCACATGGTGGTGCCCCAAATGTCATGTTTGTGGCTTTATGTTGCCTTGTTTAAATATATATATACACATATACATTTCATCACCTGCAAACCTAGAAAAATATGAAATGACCCTGTGGTAAACAAAAATCGCTGTGGAATATTATCATTAATAATTTATTTATGTTCAATATAAGCTAAATAATCTATACATGGGCCATGTTCCATGGCTATGCTAAACTACCACAGGGTAATTCAAGCAACGTAGCGATTCCGAACTGGGGCGCGACCGAAAATTGCCCGCCCGGGTCGGATCTGGATCGCCGAGTCACGATGATCACATCCAAAATCATCATCCAATCCTGCGGTGAGCAGGATTAGTCCTTTCAACATAGATACACATAATATACATATATATATATACCTATGGTACTTACTGCTCTGAAAAAATGCTATATTACTATTAGTACTCTATAACTGTCTATCATTATATTAACGATTGCTGGGGTGTCGACCTCCAGGACTGCCAGGTGCCAGGCTGGGTGCCGGTGAGGATTTGGAGCGCCCTTTCCGAGCGGTTCATAAAGTGATCAGGATCAAATATAGGGATTCGATGAGTTCTAGGTAGATAGATAGACAGGTAGATAGATAGATAGATAGATAGATAGGATAGATAGGATAGATAAGATAGATAAGATAGATAAGATAGATAAGATAGATAAGATAGATAAGATAGATAAGATAGATAAGATAGATAAAATAGATAAGATAGATATGTTAGATAGATAGATAGATAGATAGATAGATAGATAGATAGATAGATAGATAGATAGATAGATAGATAGACAGATAGATAGATAGATAGATAAGATAAGATAAGACAAGACAAGATAAGATAAGATAAGACAAGGCAAGACAAGACAAGATAAGATAAGATAGATAGATAGATAGATAGGTAGGTAGATAGATAGATAGATTAGATTAGATCAGATCAGATCAGATTAGGTTAGATTAGATTAGATTTGATTAGGTTTGATTAGATTAGATTAGGTTAGATTAGATTAGGTTAGATAGATAGATAGATAGATAGATAAGATAGATAGATAAGATAGATAAGATAGATAGATAAGATAGATAAGATAGATAAGATAGATAAGATAGATAAGATAGATACGATAGATAAGATAGATAAGATAGATAAGAGAGAGAGAGATAGATGGATAGATAGATAGATAGATTGATTGATTGATTGGTAGATTGATAGATAGGTAAAGAGATAGATAAATAGACATATAGATAGACAGATAGACAGATAGATAGATGGATAGATCGACAGATAGATAGATAGATAGATAGATAGATAGATACATAGATAGATAGATTAGATTAGATCAGATCAGATTAGATTAGGTTAGATTAGGTTAGATTAGATTTGATTAGGTTAGATTAGGTTAGATTAGATTATGTTAGATTAGATTAGGTTAGATAGATAGGTAGATAGATAAGATAGATAGATAAGATAGATAGATTAGATAGATAGATTAGATTAGATAGATTAGATTAGATTAGATAGATTAGATAGATTAGATAGATTAGATAGATTAGATAGATTAGATAGATAAGATAGATAAGATAGATAAGATAGATAAGATAGATAAGATAGATAAGATAGATAGATAGATAAGATAGATAAGATAGATAAGATAGATAAGATAGATAGATAGATAGATAGATAGAAAAAGGTAGGTAGGTAGGTAGGTAGGTGAGGTAGGTGAGGTGAGGTAAGGTGAGGTGAGGTAAGGGAAGGTAAGGTTAGGTTAGGTTAGGTTAGGTAGGTAGGTAGATATCTTTTGCAACATCTTATGGATAATGTCCCTCCAGTGCCTTCAGACCAAGCTTGTCTTATACGTCATTTGTACAGTGTACAGTATATATTTATATACATACACATGCATAATTTGTAAACAAATGATATGCAAGAAAATGAAGATTAGATATCCCTGCTGCAGCCCCCAATCCTTCAGAACGGACCATTTGTCGAAGACATAGAAGATCACAGTCCTCGTCAAAAGGGATAGTCAATCAGCAAACCCTATAGAATATACCAACACCACCAGCTTTGATTATTTGGCTTTACCATGGTTTACCGTATATAAAAAACCACTGTTTTGGGGGGGATGTTGTAAAACCCACATCCCAATGGTCGGTCAATCAGCTCATCCCAACAAGATGAGTCGAGAAAGGACAGCCTCATCCCGGATATGGGATTCTCGAAAGCGAAAAACAACCTGTGATTTGAGAAAGGACAATGGGGACGACTTGATGGACCACAAAGCCTTGCACAAGTTGGGGCATATCTAACGTATACATATTTTGTATAGATTGGGAATGCTCTCAGTCAGAGATATGAAAATAAAGAAACACGCTGAAAACAACACAGACGTGCAAACCAAATCAAAAGACACGCATGAACATGTAATAGCATATAGCCCCAACACTGCATGGCATCCAATAATGCGTCAGTCCCGACTGGACGGAGAGCCTTTGCAGAAATACAACTATGCAAATAAGAAACCAAACATGTAAATGTAAACTTAATTTAAACCTACCAAAAGTGCCCGAAGTCATGACAATGGGAATCATCCTGCCAACTGGAATGTTCAGCAAGACTTCAGAAATTGAAATTGTTGACCCTCTGGTAAACTAACATAGCTATTGAAAATTGCCATTTATAGTGGATTTATAGTGGATTTACCCATTAAGAATTGTGATTTTCCATATTTACGTTAGTTTACCAGAGGGTAACATGTTTCAACCCATTTAGGGCACGTCTTCTCCAACAGCCAAGCGACAGTTCCAAAGTGTAGAGCACCAAGCACACATCGGAGATCACCAGCAAAGCGACATCAGGTTCATGCTTTGCCTTGGGAAATCGTTGTACGAATTTCATCAAACTATAAAGGGAACTTAGAAATTGATACCCCCGAATTTACCCAATTTTTTGGAGGTATATCCCCTATACCATCATCATATATGGCCATATTCCAATGTTGTGCAAACTACCACCTACCAACCACCAAAGCATCCAGGTGAACGGCATTTCATTGCAAGAATCACAAGTTGTGTCCTCATTGTTTTTCAAAAATCGCTACAAATCCAAATAGATCCTATGGAAAATCCTGTAAACCCATGTAAATCCCATAGTTTCCACCGTAAAATCCACAAAATAAAGGTACCAACGAAAAGAAAAAAAACAATGAAACCTGCCCATGGACTTTAAGACCACAGAATCCATTTCCAAACCCCCTAATCAATTACAAATCCTCAAAACGTGCTCCCAAGCGGCCGCACGCGCATCGATGCCTGCGCAGGTGCAGTAGGCATCCAACAGGACCACCAGGGCCATAAAGTTGGCCACGTAGTAACCTCTGGGCACCACCAGAATCCACAAAACGATGGACGTTTTCGTGAAAACATGGCGGATTTAACTGGTTTAGTCATGAACAAATGAGATTTAAGGATGGAAAATAGGGATATGGCCGATTTGACCGACCATCAAATATATGATAGATAATGGGGATGTGTAAGCATAAACTCTTGGAATTTAAGCGCCAAACATGGGGATTTAGTCAAATAAGACATAGAAATTATATTTCATACCTCAAAAATAGAAGAAATTAAATAGTTAAAACACATAGAAAATGCAAAATTGGGGGTGTCAAATCAACAAACCAGATAGAAGATACTCCTTGTCGCAAAGGCTCCTCCAAGAGCCGGTCTCGAGGGTTATTTAATGTCCTTTTTCAGATTTTAACCCACAGACCTTCTGACATACCAGGGCACTGAAACACTGGTATTTGCAGTGTTTTCACATGTCCAGGTCAAATAGAAGATACTATAGAAACATAGGACCATCTGCGACGGGCCATTTTTTAGACTTCTTGTGGAAAAACGCAAAGAACCTCGTGTTTTTTTTTTGCTTTTTTGGGGCGTGATGTTAGCACCAAATCAGGTTGAAAAAAACCAACCAAATAGAAGATATTGGTGTACAAATTGACCGGCTAAATAGAAGATATTCAATAATTAATTGGGAGGGGTATCCGCCATGGAAATTAATTCAATATATTCAATGAATATCTTCTATTTGATCGGTGTGGCAGAAGCCCTATTTCTATGTATGTATGTGTCCGGTCCGGGGCGAAGAAACACTGAAACTCAAATTTTCCAAATAGCGCTGATACCAAATAGCGCTGAAACTCACATTTTCCATTTTGCCTTGGCTGCAGATAACGCCCCGGACCGGAAACATAGAAGATCAAATCACATAGAAGATGAGGTCAAAAATTACCGAACACATAGAAGATCCAAAAGTGGATCCGCAGCAAGGTCCTCCAAGCGGGCTCCAAAATCCTTTCCGACCCTGGTTTTGGCTCTATTTTGACATCTATGTGATTCTTCCCAAAACGCCTTTCAAAAAACCAAACACATAGAAGATGGGGTACAAAAATAGTAGTTAATATCTTCTATTTTTGAGGTATATAATATAACAATTGTGTTGGACCTGTTGGCCAAAGATGTTGAAGCATAAACAACTAGATCTAGGCAGCAAACATGTGGAAAATGACCTGGGTTACCAATCCTTCACGGATAAAACCAATAAGCACCCTGGAAATTCAAAAAAATGAACAAATGGATTTACATTTCCTATACAACAAGCATAGATCCCGCCAAATAGGGACTTGGAAGCGGCTTCGCTACGGTTCGTTGGGGGTGGTAAGATGATATAACACTGACCGCTGGGCTGTCAACCCATGGGGAAACCACAGTGGTTTCACCAGAAATGAGGATGCAACCGATGCTTCTTGAATCGATCACCAACAAAACGTGTGATGCAAAACTGCCATTTCTGATGGATAACTTCTCTGATGCATCACAAAATCCATAAATCAACTAATCTAGGTTGATTGTCATCCCAAGTAGGCATGAAACAACGTGAAATTTGAAGCTATCAACTATAGCCGGTGATGCCCCCTATGAATTCATATATGTTTGATTATTTTTGCATATGGTGAGAGTGAGAATTGCTACCAACTAGATCATTGACAACAAATCCACACACACAAACAGAAAAATAAAGACAGTGTAAATATATATATATATACACTGGATTATACAGTAGTTGTTGTTCGATGACTCTTCCAAATCATGGTTAGCAGCTTTTTTTTTCGCACAGTGACTCTTCCACATGATTTATTTTTGTTGGGTTTTTCAAGCGGTTTTTGTTGCGGATTTCAGCAGGTTTCAGCCACCAAGCAGCTCTTCATGACTTTGTGCAACCATTTGCTGCTGCTCCTTCTGGACTTGGAGTCCTGACCGCCAGCGCTCTTGCCGTCGTGCTGGATGAAGTTGCCGGTCCTTACGACTCGAAAAAAATAAACCCCAGCGTTCGCAAACGGTGGAAATCAACCAAAGACCAAAGAAAATATGCACTAACTAGACATTAAAATTTAAATATATCAAAATGGCAATAATTGACCCGCTTGAACCAATCGCATGATGGCTCAAAAAATGGTCACCCTGTGGTGCACGACACCACAGTGGAATAAAATGGGAACATCCAGCATTTTATAGCAATCCCCAGAGAAATAGTGTTTCTAGCATGATTATATTCGACTCATATTTCCAGGTGTCCAGTAGGATGTTTGACCCAAGGGTTTCAGCTACGAGGCCACAATGGCGATCGCCAGGTGTAAGTATATACTGCATATATGTATAGATGTGTATCATATGTCTAAATATAATATCTGTATATGTGTGAATATATAACATGTTGTATATGTAAATATCATATATGGCGATGTGTGTAAAATGATGCAATGTAGGTTGATGTATCATATGTCTAAAAATTCAACTAGTCTAATGTAGTAAAGATACATATATAGATACATAGCGTTGCATACGGAGATAACATATCCCCATCTCCTGTGATTTTGCTGATGGTCAACCCCACCTATGGCCACAATCAAGGGGGATCAGCAACCAAAATCCAATCATCCACCATCCGTCATCCATAATATATATATATATACATATACAAACACAGTATGTGTATCCCTGTATTGCATCAGCCAAAATATTCAAAAATCATATAATCCGTAAAATCCATCATATAATCCTCCCAAGAGATCTTCAAATTTGGAAATCGCCCAAGCTTCACTTGTACCATGCTCTTCCTGGGTCGTTTGGTGCGCGTGCCGGTGGACGTCGTGGACATCTCCTGCCTTGGTGTGTCCATCGTATCCGACGGCTCAGAGGCTTCCGAGATGGGCTCGTTGTGCAGCGCAGTGCCAAGGGGCCCTGCCGGGCCGAAGGCAAAAAGGAGACCTGTGGGCAGAGGTAAATCTATATAGCCAAAGGCAAATGAAGCCTCAGTTATTGTGTCAGTTCCAATAGGACCCCCAACAATAAACCCGTTGGTGATGATCTATATATATATATATACTTCCACTACACTGGGTTTTGAGCACTGTCGACAAAGCATAAGAAAATTGCAAATCCACGCTTTATTTAGGCATTTCCATGTTTTTTTTTTCAGGCCTTTCCACGGCATTTGAAGGTCTTTCCAAAGTTGTTCCACGGCCATTCTACGGCTCATGTTTTTCTTTTGGCCTTTTTTTACCGAAACATATACCTGCTTTTTGTTTCCGAAAAAACAAAATGAAATAAATAGCCAAACATAATTTTTGACTTTGACATAAATCCTGGTGTCTATATTCTATAGTATTCTACAGTATAATATTGAAATCAAGAGACACCTAAGAACATTTCTTGGTGAAACCGTTGGGCCATCATGGCCATTTTAGGCCTTTCGTTTCAAACGAGGTCGAGGCCTCACAAAAGGAGGCCTCTGACGCATGGGGTATATATAACCCCAGGCCCAAACATGTTTAAAAAACAAGAAAGAAAGGGAAAAATGTAGATGGACCAACCCAAATGATATCCAGTCCAGCATTTCCGGGTTGGTGGACCCCCTAAACCCGAAGGTGTTAGGCCTTGAGGTGCGAAAACAAAAGTTGTTTCCAAGTGGACTGATTTAAGGAAACATCTACAGATTACAGGAAAGCAGGTCTTTACATCTATCCTTGAACTTTGATTTTTTTGGGAGAGAGATTACCTTCCCAACAAGGTCACCATCAAACAATGCTTCTTAGAAAGTCAGACCTCCTCACTGCTAAGTCCCCTAAGTGGGCTATTCTAGCTGTAAATCACCATAACCTCACGTGCTTAAGCACTTACTACGTGGTGTGAGCATCATAGTATGATAGAGTGTATGATATATTTATATACTGTATATATATATATTATAGATATATACGGATATATATATATATATACCATCTGATTATTTAACATAGCCATGGAAAATCACCATTTTTAATAGGTAAACCATCTATAAATGGGCCATGTTCCATAGCTATGTTAAATAACGTATGAAAAGATAGACACCCCGCCACAAAAAAAAAAAAAACGGCCCTTGGCTCCATCCAGCCACAACCCGTGCTGCCAAAGGTCGCCATGGTGCCCAATGCCCGGTGAGCACAGCACGGTGACCACAGCGGTTCGATGTTTCTTCTAATGATGTTAGCACTATATACAGTCAAACAAAATCTATATATATATATATCCATAAATAGATAGATAATGGTGTATATATAGATATATGTAATATATGACTGCATATGTGCGATGTGCGTTACCCGTATGTTTGACCAAAATTGTTGTCACTTTGGTCCAGAAACACTTATAGTTATGGATTTGGTTCATCGCTGGTTGGCCACCGTGTTTTTTTATTGAGCTCAAAGCTATGGGCCAACGGGTTGATGGCAGTGAAACCCCAGGCTCAGAGGTTTCAACCTATAAACATATGAAAGGGAATAATGAAACAAGGTAGTGCCCGGTGCGTTGTCACAGTTGGTTTATGAGTGGTAAGAGCTGGGCGTATCGTGGATATATGTAGATATATCATGAATGATGTATCTATATTCGTAGGGTTTAGGAACCAACAAGCTTAAGTCTTTGGGGCACACCTTGTAGGTACTGAATTGCCTTGAAGTTGTTGGTGCGATCATCCCAACTGGATCACAAATGGATGGCCTATAAACATAGATGATTTACATTAATGTAAATACTGGTTTACCATAGCTATGTAGATGATTAAATTGGGATTTTCCATAGCTATGTTAGATTACCTGAGACTGATTTAAACATATTTAAACCACCAACCAGCCTTGTTATCTATTGATCCTCTAAGAATTGACACATCAGTTGCAACAGTTCCACCGCACCGATCATCTTTTTGTGGCATCATCCTACCCAAGTATAATGTCAACTTAAAACCTACCATATGGTGTGCATATAAATATAAATATATTACTATATATGTATTACATATTTAAACATCTAAACATATGTATATATATATATATGTAAACATGCATCTCAAAATTACGCACTTCCCTATCAATCTCCCCTAATATCGTCAACCATGCAACCATCCATCTCTAATCAAATCTAAATCTAACCCAATCAAAATCTATCAAAACTTAAGCCTATCAAATATCTATAACATTCTATCTCTAATCAATACTGAACGAAAACCTACAAAACTCAGATGCTCCATGTATGGAATATATTACCTACATTATCCATCATTATCCTACAAAACTGGGTGATTTTTAGGGCAAATGTTGGTAAATATTCCAGCACCATGGAGCCATGGCATCGGCATCGCCTCCCTGGCCGTGGCGCACTGCCGCAGCGCGGTCGCCAAACGGCCACAGAGCTGCAGAGTGTCGGACGTCATGGCGCCTGCATCGAAGGGTCAGAGTTAGCAGGTGAAACCACCAAAAAAGGATAAAAAAATGGTGGTTTGATGGGAATGTCATTAGGATTTAGTGCGATTTTATTGTATTTAAGGGGAATTTAATGGGATTCGGATTAAATGATATTTAATGGTGTTTTGATGGGTGATTTAATGTGAATTTCATGGAAAGTGAATAGTTATATATTAGTTTTCAATGGAGTAGTATTAGAGTCTGGGTAGATGATTAAGAATCCGACAGATACGGCTATTAATATCTGGGAAGCACCTACTGTAGATCTGTAGATAGATCTGAGATGATAGATCTAGATGAAGTTGTCAACAGTACTATGATGTACTATCCAATGCTGATGTATTACACTAATGGAGTACTATTAGAGTTTCGATAGTTGCTGAGAGATTTCTAAGTGTTAGTTATTTGAACCGAAATAGCTCTATAAGAATTTAGATAGATCTGGATAGTCATTGCGAGGCGAGCACTTATAAGTTTGATTACTTGCTGGATGACGTGATAGATAGATCAAAAAGGAATTATGGATACTGTACTATCCAAGTGTTACATTTTGTAATGTACTTATCAAAAATACTATTTCATCACTATTATAGATCACATACTGGCGTTAGTGGTAGCAGTGGTAGCAATATAAGAGTTCAACTATCAATAGTGAATCATGCTATCAATAGTACTGTACTATCTTATGCTGAATTAATGTACATATCTATTTAATGATAGTTCATTTTAATGGCCCAGTAGATAGTTATGAAAATAGTACCGCTATAATCTAAATGGTTTCAGTAGTTAATGCTAGTTCATCGTCATAGTTCATTGTGATAGTTCATCGTGGTAGTGTAGCTTAGTGTGATAGTTCTTTGTCGTAGTTTGTTGTCATAGTTCAGTATTTGAGTTCATTGTGCGATTAGCTAGTTATTAATTGTACTATATATTGAAAACAAACATACCCTCCGGCAAATTAATATAGCTATTGAAAATGGACATTTATCGTTGATTTTCCCATGAAAAAATGTTATTTTCCATAGTTTTTTGTAAACGTTTACCAGAGGGTAAACTTTTTGGAAAAGTAGCGGACGGGCCACGTTCTTCTTCATTTACCTATTGGTAAAGATGGCGTTCACCCATCAACTGACCAACCAGTGGAACAGGATGTCACTGAAACAAAGCAGCGAACATGCTATGAACCATGGCATTCTACAACATATCTCTAGAACATTCTAGAACAGGTAGATGTAGATAGACGATAGATAGCTAATGGATATATATATATATACAGTAGTAATGATAGATAGTAAGATATAGTAACAACAGAACATAATAGGCGAATAGGTAAGTAACATTAAGTAACTATTCCAAAAGGGATGCTCATCATCCGGCAGAAAAAAACAATGATGTAAAACACGGGAGGCCAACCAATGAGTTCATCAATCAATTCATATGTACACCAAACTGAGCTTCAAGTGGCAAACATGTGGGCTGTGAGCGATAGAAAGTGCAATGCAATTTGGCTACCAAGCATGTATGTTTTCCTTTGCGAACATGTTTTTTTTTATTTTATCATATTTTATCATTACAATAAATATTGCACTTTTGAGCAACTAAACTAGGGATGTGACGTTTGAAGCAGCAACCAAATAGGAACACCACTGGCTATGGATGTTCACCAGCAAAGTCATGGCGATCTGACAAGCATAACTGGTTGGTGGTGCAATAACCATGTTGAAAAATATGAAAGTCAATGGGAAGGATGACGACCCATATATTATGGAAAATAAAAAATGTTTGAAACCACCAACCAAATAATTATTGATTCAAAATTGCCATCAAGAAACTGGGAGTTGCTGAAAGATCTATTTCAGTTGTTGAAAAACACAGCTTCTCCATAGATTCTCCAAATGATGGATTTACCATGTCGAAAGTAAAGATTCAATTTTTGATATGTTCCGCAAATCTAGGTTACTAACCCACCATTCTTCGCCATAAAATCGCCATTCAATTCCCATTGAACATCATTAAATCCCCATAGAAACACATCAAAATCCCAGCTTTCGTGCTGGATAAATTGGCCATCGCCTGCATCTGCATCCTCTCCCAGTCGCTCCTAACGTTGGGGGCAGATTCAGCTCAAGACGGGACTTTCCCCAAACGATAAGCTAAGCTGTTTATGTATACACAGTTGTTTGTTTCACCATATATATATAAACATATCCCTTGTGTATATACTGTATATATAATATATACAGTTGTTTGTATACATATACACAGTCTAACATGGCATAGTAAGTATGCCATTCCATTCATATTCAGCTATATACCATTTGGTTATTTAACATAGCCATGGAAAATCCCAACCATCAATGGAGGTGCAAATAGCTGGAAAAATAATCTATTTTGATTAGGGCCATCTATAGCATGGCTATGTTAAATAACCAGAGGGTAATAATAGTGGCCAATAATAAGATTATAATGGGATAATAATGGTTTATGGTTGGATAACCATTGGTTAATAATTGTTAATAATTGTTAATATAAATATTTGTGGTTAATAACTGTCTCCCCATGAAATCACCTATTGTAAACCATCGGCAAGGCCAAGTCGCAGGATTTGCCCAGCGTTTCTCTGACAATTCACCTGCGCTGTGAACGATCACTTTTAGGGGCTAGATCTGGTTTGTAAATATTCTACGGTAAGTGTATTTACTAATGGTTAGTAAATAGTGAAAGTAACATCTAGAAATATGGAAGAATCAGATCTATATTAAATATTAAGTAATATTTACTAATCAGATTTACTGTATTCTGCTGTAATGGTTGGTAAATATTGAGGTGTTAGCAAATATCCCCAATGGCTAGGACATATCTCCAATGGTTGATTTGCTATAAATATATTAAATATACCGTATATACCTAATGGCTAGATTGGTTAGCAAATGAACTTGTAAATATCACCAATTTCTGGTAAACTATTTATGGTTTGTAAATATCCCCAGTTTGTTAGCAATTTATGGAAGTATTAAAAGTACACAGCCAGGTTATTATATATATATATATATTGGAAACAACCAACCAGCTTTGGGGTCCACGGGTCGACTGAAAAGGATTGATTGAAACATTTCACAGGTTTGAATCAAACCAAAACTGGTTGGTGGTTGAGCCACCCCTCTGAAAAATATGAAAGTCAATGGGGATGATTATCCCATATATTATGGAAAATAAAAATGTTTGAAGCCACCAACCAGAAAAAAAAACATCTATATGTTTAACATGTTTAACACTATCTAAGCAACAAACATTGGAAGTGAAAAAAAAGATTGACCTTTCCACCACAGACAGCGGGATAGTTGTGAACCGTTTGCTTTTTCTTTTTTAACATAGGTTAAACCAACAAACATTGGTAAAATCCCAACAAAGTGATTTCACCAGAAATGGGTGACCCCAGGGGTACCATGGGGCACCCCCCGCGTCTCTTGCATCTCTGCCTTAACCGCGTTTCAAATAAAATATTGGCGAGTCCTTTATGATTTTTCCTGCCAAGTAACATCTATAGTACACTTTGATACACTTTCTTGGTTTGTTGACCAACCAATTCTTTACCAAATAACTTAGTCCATGTTGCTCAATGGTCCATAATTAATTAGTAAATAACTGGTGAAAATTCATGATAGCCAATCATGAATTAACATCAATTACAGTAATGTTGGTAAAACAAGGCCATAAACCACCCATTTGGGA